CATGGATCCATCATGCCTTGTTCCCACTGTGCAGGCTGGTGGTGGTGGTGGTGGTGTAATGGTTTTCTTGGCACACTTTAGGCCCCTTAGTGCCAATTGGCCATCGTTTAAACGCCACGGCCTACCTGAGCATTGTTTCTGACCATGTCCATCCCTTTACGGCCACCATGTCCCCATCCTCTGATGGCTACTTCCAGCAGGATAATGCACCATGAATCATGTCAAATTGGTTTCTTGAACATGTCAATGAGTTGACTGTACTAAAATGGCCGCCACAGCAGTGGTGGAATGTAACGAAGTACAAATACTTCGTTACTTTACTTAAGTACATTTTTCACGTATCTTTACTTTACTTAAGTACAATAAATAGTGCCTACTTTTTACTTTTACTTCGTTACATTTTGCAGCAATTATTATACTTTCTACTCCACTACATTTCTACAACTTCTGTTACATTTTCGTTACATTTTCTGATCAGTTTTTCCCCTGCCAAAACGTAATCTGACCGTCGAGCCCGTTCTCATCCTAAAGCGCCATATCGGACGCTTTTGCAAAAGCGTAAATATCCAACGCACATGGCACCCTTTAACGTGAAATGAGACGCAGATATATTTGGGCAGATGGCGCCCCCTAGTGGTCTAACCCTTACACCAGTGACGTTTGGTTGCCATAGATGCAGTATATCAACCCGGCAGTATATCAACAGCACGGCCGGTCACACTAAATGCGTCTCACACGCAGTGTGTTTATCGTGCAACTCATACGCGAAAATTTGTTTTTACGTGCATAGGAAACACACCGTGTGTAATATATGTTTGGTTTGGTTAGGATTATGGCAAGCCAAGAGGTTCAGAATTACACCATAAATGAATCGCGTTTACTGCCAAACATATTAACATATAGTAAGGATAAGCATGATATTGCCTAATTGCAAGCTTGTTTCAGAAATGGTGACGTTTTTTTCCATCATTATTGAACATCATTATAGGAGTAGGCTATTAGGTTGAATGAGTTAGATGTTTTATTAATCATTAGAAAATAGACATTAAGATAATAAATTGTTATGCAAGTACTTTTACTTTTAATACTTAAAGTACATTTAAAATAGAGTACTTTTTACTTTTTACTTAAGTATGGTTGTCATTGTGTTACTTCTACTTTTACTAAAGTAAATATTTATCTGGGTATTTGTACTTTTACTTAAGTACTGAGATTCAGTACTTCCTCCACCACTGCGCCACAGTCACCAGATCTCAACCCAATAGATCATCTTTGGGATGTGGTGGAACGGGAGCTTCATCCCACAAATCTCCATCAACTGCAAGATGCGATCCTATCAATATGGGCCAACATCTCTAAAGAATACTTGTTGAATCAATGCCACGTAGAATTAAGGCAGTTCTGAAGGCGAAAGGGGGTCAAACACATTAAAATAATTTAAAAAATAAACGTCACAAAAAAAAGAAAGATATAAAGTAAAAATTCTATTTGTTTTGCAGCATGTCATGTGACCATTAATGACATCAGAGAACCATGAACATCCAAATGTTGTTACTGTAGTTGCTACTTTAGTATTAATTATGCTTTATTCTATCCTAGTTGTTGTTAGCTTTTATCTTTACATTTTCAAAATGTTACTTTGTTTAATTTTTAGTAATTTTATTATGTCATTTTTTTGTAATTTTATTATGTGCTTTTATCATTAAAATTTTTTATTTATTTATTTTTTATTAATGTTACAAGACATAAATACACATTTGGTCATATTATACATTATTCTATCCTAGTTGTAGTTATTTGCTTTTATCTTTACATTTTCAAAGTGTTACTTTGTTTAATTTTAGTCATTTTTTTGTAATTTTATTATGTGTTTTTATCATTAAAAAAAATATTTATTTTTTATTAATGTTGCAAGACATAAATACACATTTGGTCATATTATACATAATTTTTTATCTTGTCCTACATCATCTTTTCCCCCCCAAAACCAAAATGAAAATAATCCCACCCACCAAAAAATATATAAATAAATAATAATAAAACTGGAACAAACCAGGGGAGTGTCGGGCATTATGGCTTTTGTCATTTTTATAGTTATTCAACTTTTAGTATACTTAGTGTTCATTCAGATAAAATGACAATAACCATAAAATGTTTTAGTTAACAATAATAACTATTATTCTGAAATACTAATTTGTCCAGCTGGCCAGAAAGTGTGAACACCAAATGGCTGAAAGAAAGATTTGCTTTGAGATGACATTGGAAACATTACTATTGCAACTCTACAAGAAGGGCAGATGTAAACAGGAAGTAGAGCTGATGAATATAGCAACGCTTTAAGGAAGTCCACGAGGTCTGAGGAGACTCGACTGACTTCTGTTCTTCATAGAGCAGACGTGACACAACTCTCTCCTGATCTCTGCGCTGCTGGATGGTAATCATTATGTGCTTCTAATGGGGTGCAACAAAAGTCACAATATATCACAATACAAAAATGCATTGTGGACAGTGACAATATATATTGTGGATAGTTCACCCAAAATAAAAATAACTGTGAGGAAAAAGCCCCAGTATGATACCACACGACCACACGCGGTGAGAATAGGGAGGGTCCTTCACTCTGAAGGGTTTTGCGTGTGAAACACTCTTTTCAGGATTTGAAATGAACACTCATGCGTGTAAAATCAACAGTGGCTGTCAAATCACAAGCCAATTTGTTGTGTTACTTATTATATTTACTCACTTGTAAGTTCGTGTAAGTCAAATCCGTGCAGATTTAGCGCAAATAAATCTTGTGAGTCGTCATGATTTATTAAATACAGCGTATCACAAAGTATCTGCTCATACCTGGCTTACTTAAACACACACGCCACTACACAACACATAACGGCGCGCTCGTTCACTTGCATTGAAGAAATAGCGAATATCAAATTAAAAAGCATTTGGTGAACAGAAAAGATGATATTTTCCAAAATCCAATTTTTTTTTCATCTTCTTTGTACTGTATTGAATGTATGAAACCCAATTTTTTATACGTTTATAAAATATACAGGTGAAATTCGAAAAATTTGAATATGGTGCAAAAGTTCAGTAATTCAACTTAAAAGGTGAAACTAATATATTATATAGACTCATTACATGCAAAGTGAGATATTTCAAGCATTTATTTGTTATAATGTTGATGATTATGGTTCACAGCTTATGAAAACCCCAAATTCAAAATTAGAATATTGTGAAAAGGTTTTCATAACTGTAAGCCATAATCATCATAATTATAACAAATAAAGGCTTGAAATATCTCACTTTGCATGTAATGAGTCTATATAATATATTAGTTTCACCTTTTAAGTTGAATTACTGAACTTTTGCACCATATTCTAATTTTTCGAGTTTCACCTGTATATAAACTGTGACATAATTAATCGGGTTGATTTATTCTTCGTTTTTCGGCAAGTAGAAGTAAATGTTGTAATCAAATTGTCCGGTGAGTGAAAAGATTCATTTAAAACCCTTACTCTTTTAAGGGACGGTGTGTGTGTGTGTGTGTGTGTGTGTGGGGTGAAGCCCAGCGGACGTGTGTAATCTCAAACTCAAGCCTGCAATGAAAACATCTGACGCACGGTTCCTCTTCCTTCCTCTCTTTCTCCACGGAAACCCACTGTCAAAACTCATGTAACAAATGGCCATTCCTTATGTGGGGTTTCTAATGGCTGAGAATGATATCTAGAGATCACGGATGAGTTGATCAAATACAGCTGATATCGTTTTAATTTATGTAACACATGACCTTGAGTGTCTTTCTTCCTTCTACAAAATAGATGGAAACAGAAATATGTTTAAACAACAAACACAGCAGTGAATGAATAGTGTAATATAGTAAAAACAATGATGTATCTGTATTTCTAACAGCTTAAAATAATTATTTAAATATTATTTTAGTAAATTAGTAAATATATTCTATATCGTAAAACGTGAGTAAATATACAAAAATATTTTACACAATATTTAATAATATTACAATCAAATATCATTTTTTAACTTAAATGTTAAATATTTACATATTTTTAATTGCAAATTAAGTACATTTTATGTACAATATATTATTTTACAAAACACTTACAAAAAGTATTTATTCAATCTCTAAATATTTATTCATATATATTTTTTTATATATATATTTTTTTTTTTTAAATCGCAAATTGAGTAAATATTGTGTCGAAAAAATGTGTTTAGTCAATTTCCAATATTACAATAAAAAGCATCCAATTTTTATTCTTAAATATTAAATGTTTACATTTTTAACTGCATATTGCACAATATTATAATCATAAATATTCTTTTTAATTTGTATTTATTTAATTTATTTATTTTTTAATTGCTAATTGAGTACATATTGTGCACAATAAACTGTTTAGACAATATTTATATATATATTACACACAAGTGTGTTTAAAAACAGAAATGTTTTGTTTTTGTATATAAAAATGTGTATTTATATATACACAAAATAATTATACATAGTACACACACGTATATTATGTAACGCATTTTACGCAATTTGTATAGACTCATTAAGGGGTGAAAACAACGCAGGCTTGATCTGAACATGTTACATCTCTGGTTTTGTATAGCTAGCCATTTGGTTTCAGTATCTGGCTGTTAAACAGACACACGCAAACCGGAGCGCCGGCGCTCCAGTCGGTCTTAAAGGGTTAACCGCAGATCGAAAGCCGTCGCTCGATGCTGTTCGCGAATGTTCGTTGGAACGATGGTTTCGGGAAACACGACTTGTTGAACTGCTGATATGACCATTGGCTAACGATACTTTCGGGAAACACACCCCTGATGGACCTGTTAAACACGCTCCACAGCGCCACCCAGTGCATTTAAATATAACTGCGAAAATAATTAAAGAAAAAAGGAAATTCGAATAGTATTTTATTTTTCGAATAATAATCGAAAATGTGATCCCTAATCCGTACCAACCCGAACCCTCTTACCTTCGCCCAGCACCATGTCCTTTAGCTTCTCCACAGCCTCTGCGAAGCGGGCGACGTCTCTGAGCAGCGAGGGAATGTCCTCCACCTCGATGGCCGACGCTTCGCCACCGTCTGCGTGTCCGTAGCTGAGAGCGGCCCGAGGATAGCTCTTGTGGAAACTCCACGTCCCAGCCGTCTGGAAGGGGAACCCGGCGGCGCTGGCGTGGCGGCTGAGGCCCGTGGGCCGCTTGATGGTCCCGACAGGAGAACTGCACCCCGTTAGCTTGGAGTGGGCGGCCGGCGTCCCCGGGCAGGACGAGGGCACCGAGTCAGGAGGAGCCAACGTGCAGAGGCCATCGATAGTGTCATAGTGAGAGTGTTCCTGGAGGATGGACAACTGGGTTAACGTGGGAAGGAGAGAGAGGATGGGGTGTGAATGACAGGATTATGGAGATGAATACTATGGACAGGGTTAATAATGGTGAAATATATTGGAAACAGAAATATGCTTGAATAACAAAACAATAACCTCAACTATGAATAAATAATTAAATTAATAATTATTAAACAATTTTTCTGCACAGTAATATAGTTCTAACTGTAAGCACTGAAGGCCGAAAGTATTGGTGCATTAATATAAAATATATGCATTTACATGCATTTCTCACCTAAAAATGTATCATTTTTTTCTTTATATATATATATATATATATATATATATATACACATTTCAGACCCATTTTCTCTTAAAAATAGAATGGATGTTATATTTTGAACTCTTGGCATGAAGACAAACCAAACAAAAGTTTCTACCTGTCTTTCATGGTTTTTCATGTGCATCACTGTTTCAAAATGAACTGTCTGAAAATATTCTTGTTACAAATTCTTGTTTATCTGTCATTTGTGTTAAAAGAATATGTAATTAAAAGATATGAACAACAAATATGAACAACAACAGAAAAAGTGAAGCCCTTCTGGATTCTTTTCTTGTTTCCGTCTGTTGCTGTACAACAGTTGCTCGTTTCTGAGATGACTCTTACTGACTTCCTCTCAGTTTATTTTTGGCATTGTTTGCGAAAAAAAGAGAAAAAAATCATCTTGTGCTCTTCACCAGGGATTGTTCATCAACAACAGTTGTACAAAACCGTTCATCAATTTGCAATTGATACCAATTGAACAAAACATTCTTTTGAATCGATTCATTTGAATGATTCAGTCAAGTGTTCGCAGTAATAACTCACTCGACTGCCTATTGTGAAACGGTTCATTTAAAATGATTCGTTCGAGCAAACAAATTCTCTAATATGAATCAGACCTCCCAAACATGTTCAATATCTATAATAATAATAATAAAGTACATTTAACTTTTAAATAAAATTACTGTGTGAGAACTTCTAAAGGAAAGCAAGAGGAATAATGTGAATCAATTTGTCAACCGTTAAAAGTTAGCAGCTAGACCAAAAGTTCGAAAGCCGCTTCACGCGTAGGTTTTCGGGCTGATTAAACGAGTTTTCTCTTTTAAACACAATTATAACAGAAATATCAACCTATCACAAAACTAAACTCTGTTTTTTTGGTATTCCTAAGAAGGACTGTTGGTCTTACCGAAGGGTTTTGAACGGAGTTGCTCTTCTTGGAGACTGGAGATGCTTTAGTAGTCAGCTCCTTTTTCTTTCGAGAAAACATGTTCACACTGTTCTCATAAATCGTACCGCAAATCTTCAATAATGAGCGAAATACTTGTGAAAATGTCTTCTCTTGGTCTTTCTGTGACTGACAGTTACTTCCCCATCATGAGAGTTCAGTTACTCGCTCCCGCGCGCGCACTCTCTTCCTGCTGCAGTGTCGCGCGCTGCGCGTCCGTCTCGAAGACGATGCTGGCACCTGCCGGAGAGCCTAATCAAACATCACCAGACAACATGACAAGACAAATTAGGATGAATCATGCTACATTTTTTTTTTTTTTTTTTTAGTTTTGAGCGACTAAGGTCAACATGAAAGCAAATTTCCGCCATTTAATAAAAAATATATACTTTTAGAAATCATAATTCTGACATTAAAAAGTTGGAATTATGCTAAATGCCTAAATATAAAATACATTATGACATAAATCGTAAATATTAAGTGGCAATTATTAAATAAAAAAAAATTTGAAATTATGACCTAAAAATGTATTTGTCACGACCCATACTGGGTTCATAACACATTCAAAAAGATGACGTAAAATTCGCGTCGTGAAGCTTCACATTCTTGAGTAGAAATCATAATTTTGACTTTTTAATCTCATATTTTTTACTTTACTTACCGAATTTTTGGCTTTTCATCTCATATTTCTAATTTGTGTCACAAAATTTGCCAAAGTAGACACTTAAAACAAAATGGCGCTAATGGCAGGCTTCCATAGGTCAAAGAATTTCATCTTCCATTTCATCTTTAACTCAGCATGTTCATATTCTGATGTATTAACATGATTTTTGTCTCGGTTATTGCTGATACAGACTACAATACTGTTAGGGATACAGATGAGGAATTTTGAACAAACTCTTAAAATTTTATTGTTTGTTAAAAATTATATTGCAGTACAATATATTCCTTCTGTTAAATGTAGAAAACGTTCAGAATGAGTCAAAAGGCACATTTGTTTACACTATTTACAGTTCCATCTAAACTCATAAATATTGGGATAAAACAAAAGAAGCCCAAAGTAAAAAGTGCTGAACAGAATTCTAACTGGAAACATTAATAATATAACAATAATATTATCATCATCATCATCAACAACAACAGCAACAACAATACATACAATCAGTAGCAGTCTTAAATGTTTTGCTTTTATTATTAAAGTGTTCATTTGTGATTTCTTTAAAAATGCAGATGAGTATTAAAATTCTGGCATGTTGTCAGGGACAAAAAGGAGTAGAAACACAGTGGGCAAAACACATCTGCAAGGTTTTTTTTTTCTTTTTTACACACAAAAACGCTGAAATTGAGTAACTAGAGCCAATCACAGATTGTGTTTTTGTTCACATGATTTTGACAATCCAGTAACGGCTTGCTTGCATCATTTCTCATAAAATTATCACACACACACAAAAAAAAAAAACATCAAAAGCAGAGAACTTGTAGTAACACTCGAGCAATATTCCTAAATTCGCATTTTCTCTCATAAACTTCTTCAAGTCTAGATCACGGTATGGCCAGGCCTGTAGAATACAGTAGTCATGCGTCTTTAACCGCGACGCAGAATCCTTTCCTGAGATTAAGCATGACCGTACGGAGCCTGCAAAAACTGCACAGAAAACTTTGGGAATCTAGACGCCCGACCCAAAGAAGAAAAGTTCGAGTGGAGGAACGAGTAATACGCAGTGCAGTTTTGGGATTTGGTGGCAGGTTGCAGGCTTTGAGTCTGTATTTTGTTTGGGAGGAGGAGAAAAAATAAAAATAAAAAATCAAAAAAAAAAATCAAACAAAAACCCTGACAAGGCAATTGGAAAAGTGTTCGAACTTCTACAAGTGATTATAATCAAGTCTACCTCTACTAATAATGTCCCTTGGATATAAATAGCAACAATAATAATAGTATTAATAACAATAATAATACGAACAGCAATATCAAAGACACCAATATATTTTGCTTTCATTCCAACTACAGGATAATACACCACCAAAGAGAAAAAAAAAGGAAAAACATTGACCTCATACGAACAAACAAATTGTTTTCTCTTAACAAATATAATATTCTTTGAAAACAATTCAAAAATATCACTTCTGAACAGATATAAAGAGAATCGCGAGTTGTTCGTGGGGCAGTTTTTGATTTTTATAATCATTTGTTTGGTTTTTATTGCTAAGTCTCACTCGTGAGGTCCAGCGGTTCGCCTCGTAAACACCGATACACACACCAAGCCAAGCCAATGTTTCTGAGCGTCGATCGGCTCGGCTCCGGTTCGACGTTCAAAGAGAGAGAGAGAACTCTGATTGGCTGTTCAGCTAAAAGTGATGAAAGCGAGCAAAGACGACGGTACAGACAGAGTCCGTTATAATTTTACGTCATCTAACCTGAGCATTCGAATGCACGGATATTTCCATAAGCCGAGTGGAATTAAGAAAGTGATCAGCGTGATTGATATTCAACACGGTCTGCAGTCCTAGTTTCGTTTTCCCTTTTTGAATGCCAAAAATGAGACTATTGATGCCTGCTGATATAGATATTTACTATAGAAGGAATGCTTTGACGTCACTTTCCCGCCGGAACGACCCCCCTCAGCCTGACTGAGCGGCAAAAGATCTGCTGCGTGACTGGATTTAACAGGGGAAAATGCGACTAAAACGAACAATTTTATCAATTTAAACTAAATGTTGGACTCAATATAGTGTTCTTTACAACTCACTAAAGATCCAGTGATCCATGGATATTGACATGCAGCCAGGAATCGTGTTGCCTGACATTTATGTTTGCCTGATTTCGACAACGGGGAAATATAAGCAATATAGACCTAAACATAAAGCAAATGTGGCAGTGAACGCTTTATATAAATACAATATAGGTATTGTCTAAATCCGGATGATCACTTATATCAGTGTTATATAGCCTATATCGTCCAGCCCTAAAACTTTATAGTTTTTTTTTTGTTGGTCAGTGTTTATAAAAAAAAAACATCCAATAATGCAGAATATGCAATGATAAATATTTAATAGGGGTGTCACGGTACACAAAAATCACGGTTTAGTACGTACCTCGGTTTTAAAGTCACGGTTCGGTACGTTTTCGATACAGCAAAAAGAAATTTCCTATTTGTTTAAAGAAAAAATATTTTTAAATAAGTGTGAGTTTTCCTAGACCTTGAAACTTTCAGGTTTATAAATGGGTGTCATCTTTGAAGGATGAACAAATAATGTTTTGTTCATCACATTAAAAATAACATTTAAATATATATTTATTTATATAATATTTGAATTTTGAAGTGCTGGAAAAAGATGTGTGAAGTACTTGAAAGCATTTCACCGTTCCAGTTAGTGTTCCTATATTAAATCCATGGTGAATGTTGCTGGTCTGTGGACGAAAGTAACACTAGTTCATTCACGGCACAATGTTTCTCCTGGTTTCCATGACAGCGCTGTTTGATCTAAAAGAGATCTACGGTTAATAACGGAGAAATGTGAATGCATCTCAATAGATCTCGCAGCGATGTTATTACCTCAGTGGAGAATTCAAATGTTTTCTTTACCGGATCTCTTAGCGCGGTGTGGTAACAGTGTCGCTTGATGGAGATCGGCTCGCGCTGCACAGATGTTGCTGGTCCGAACTGATAAACGATCCGTGAAGCACATAACGAGTAGCGCAGTTTCGTTCTGCTTTCATTTGATGTTGCGCAACGTTGTGTTGGCCGCCTCAGCACGAATTTTGCCGGCCGGAAAAATGGTCCAAGCAATCGTTCGTTTTGTATGCGTACTGAACCAGAAGCCTCGAACCGAAACGGTTCAATATGAATACATGTACCGTTACACCCCTAATATTTAATTAATGAGTTGTTAATATATATAACAATACAAAATATATGGATTCAACATATTGACACAAAATGATAACTGCAAATCCACCTTTCGCTGACTGGAGTCCAGTTGCTTCTGCGAATCGCAGCGATCCATTTGCTCCGTCTGTAAAAATATACCTCAGATTTGTGTTGTACAGTCAATCAAAGCTCTTTCCCACTTTATAAGTGTTGTGTTTGTTTTTTGGGGCATTCACGCTAACAACAAATACAGCCGCTCAGTCTTTTTGCCACTCACTGTGAGTAACTAGAGGCCGACGGTGACGTCACGCGCATACCCTCTATTGACAGTCGCCTTTACTCCTTTCGGTGTGTTTAATAAGCGCAGAGACGCGTCCGACGACGCGCTAGTTCTGTGACGTCGGCTTGGTGTGTCCATACAGGGCTTTAGATCTGCAAATAAATAATTTGGTTTCCGATTCCCAAAGATCACGATGACGACCCATCCGCAATCGATCATATTTTATAAAATAATCATTTGTTTCGGACAGTGACGAGTCTATAACATACCTGAGAAATTACACAAGCCGAGTATTCTGCACTATAGCCATGATATTGTGAACGAATCTGTGAACCCTGTGTTCAGATTACTGAAAAGGAGAAACACAGGGTTAAGGGGTCAAACAGCAGTTTCATAATCATGCGATCGGGTCCGTACGCCGCCTACAAAGAAGCACAGATCTCTGGGTAGAGGATAGACACCGGAGGAAATAAATAATATAGCACTACTCTGTCTAGAAATATATATATATATATATATGTACGCACACAAGACTGCATCTGAAGGAGATAAAGGCACTGATTTAACAGAAGGCATTCATTCGAAAAGATAAACTCCCTAAGATAGGAAACAGTATACACCAACGTCGTAATAAATAAATATCTCTTTTACCTCAATGTTTGATGTGATGAAATGGAGGGTGGAAAAGCCCTATTGCTTCAAATAAGGCAAATAAAAACCAAACGGATTTCAAGTGCCCATTTTAAAACCACCTCCATCGAACGTCAATGAGCCGAACGCAACTCTTAGCTTATGGACTGAGAATGACTTGGGAACAGAAACACAAAACTGTTTGAGTGCGCGAGCCGCTAGGTGGCGTCCCAGTCCACTGATTTAAACTGGATGACGGACTGTCGGTGATCCGAGGACGATCCGTGGATCATGTGATCTAGTGTCTCCAAGGGGTCCATACTGCTGTGTCCATTGGGTAATTGATGCGTCTGTTCGGATGAAGAAGAAGACGGAGTGAAGTGCGAGGAGGAGGAGCTTGAGTCAGAGAGGGAGGAGTTTGGAGGAGCCGATGCAAAAAGGGAGGAGGAGTAATGAGGAGGGGGCGGAGTCGAGGATGGCAGGGCTTGTGGGGTGAACGGGTACTTGAGTTGCGAGTCGGGCGACGGGTAACCAAAGTCCAAATCGTCGAAACTAAAGTCAGTGTTTGCAGCGGGCGCTCTTTCGTGAGCAGACTGCAGGGGTTGCAACTGCGCGTGTGGTTTTGACAGCTGCACGTGCGAGTTTGACGAGTGCGCCATGCGTTGACTGTTCTGGTGTGACGGTTGCGCTGAGGTGACGGTTTGCTGTTGCATTTGATTGAGAAGCCGCAGCACGAAGGATTTATCGTGGCTTCGCTGCAGCTGCGATAAAAGCGCGCTGTATTGCGCGGACGGTTGCGCGTGGGAGCCGCCTTGCTGCGTCAGCACCCCGAACGACGAATGATTCTGCTTTAGTGTGTGAACGTGTTGCTGCGGGATGGTCAACGCTGCATGCGCCGATGACAAGCGCATGTTCGAGTTCAACGGCACTTGTCGGTGTCTCTGCTGCTCCTGGGAAATCAGTTCTTCGAGGTTGTACGTCTCTGGAGGAACCGCGAGTGGACGCGCTCTTCCGAATTGCGTCGCTCCGTTTCGGGACACGCCGTTTAGCTCTGACGCGGGTGGTTTGATGTCCGGCGAAGGGCAGGGGCTGATGGTCAGATCCAGGACCTCGCTGACCGCTTCGGCGGCGGGCGGCAGACGGGATTGTGGGTAGTGAAGGTGGTTCGGGAGGGAGTGGGGAGGGTTGGTGACGAGCTTGCGGGCGTTGATCATCTTGGCTAGCATCTCTTGGCGAATACGCTGGTCGTTTGCGAAGCGCTCTCTCTCTCGCCGCGCTTTCTTCACCTCCTCGTCCATCCGAGAGAGCTCGGCGCGCACGCGGGATACACAGTTTTCTGGGATTTTTATACCTGAGACACACACAAGATCGCTATTTTAGTAACACTTTATAAGTCCATTAATTAGTTATACAGTATACAGTTCATTGATTAGTTAGCATGAACTAATAGTGTTTCGATCGTATATTTTAACAGAACAGTTAGGGCTGGGTATTGACACAAATTTCACAATTCGATTCGATTCAATATTGATTATTTTGGATATCAGTTACAAATGGCAAATTTTCTCAAGGAAATCAAATCTCTTAACTAATACTGTAAACTATGGGAGTCTAGTTGTAGCCTAAAGGCTTCATTAGCCTAACATGAAGGTAATAATGAACTGTTTTGTAGCTATACAAACACTTAAATTACACTTTTTTATTTATTTTTATAATAAGAAGATTATATGAAATATAAACATTTAAATGGTGGCTGTCATAAAAACTTGCCAGATTTATTCAAATATGCATTAAATATTGAAGAACATTAAGATTATAATGCATATGTAATATGGTGTATATATTTAGCAAAATGCTCCTCTCTAGAGTTATTTTTTCTAGCTGACTAACAAGTTTATGTGGGTTTTCTGAGGTAAATATGACGATAAATTGACTACAAGCTGTTTAACTGACGTCTTTCCACGGTTGAAACGCTGATTGAGTGAATCACTGTGACATGATCTGGATTTGGATAAGTTGTACTCTATCTTTAACACACTTTCAGATGCTCATTCATGTTTATTTCGAGCTGTGACTGGTATTATTAAGCCGGAAGAGAGATCAGCGCTGCTGCTTCTCCAGAGCGATCTCACGCCACAGCGACAAAACGCTATTTATGTTTTTGAATTTCTAGAAAATGGACGTAATTTGAAAATTGAGACTTTGTTTCATATCAATAGTAACAAAGGACAAAGATTATTGCGATTTTTTGGATGCGCGCAGCCTCGATACAATGATCCATTCATTCAAATGAAACAGGATGACTAATCGATTCTTGAGATTTAAGAATCGATATCGGTTCGTAAAAATGAGAATCGATTAATATCGAGAAATTGATATTACCCAGCCCTAATAACAGTATTTCTTACTAAATGTATTGTAATTTTTATAATGTTATGTGTTTTTTTTTTTCTAAGGCACATTTATAAAAGCTACTTAAAGCTGTGCATTTACTGAATGAGGACCGTGCCACTGTTCGTCCGACTGTTACTGCACTTCATTTTATTTTTGATTCTAAATTTTTTTAATAATTTACTGTATTTTATTCTAAACTGTTTTAATTATTCTGATTTCTTTTGATTATTTTAATTTCTTCTATGTAAAGCACTTTGAATTGCCATTGTGTATGAAATGTGCTATATATATAAACTTGCCTTAAAGCCTTAACTGAACTAAGGCCTAATCCAAGCTTAACTTAAACCCTGTCTGTGAAACTGGGCCAATAAGTTTTAGTATAAATCTGAGATATACATTGCAATTATTGGTATGCTAGGAAACATTATTGAGTATTACCCGATAACAAAAGGTCAACTCACCAACTTGTTTGCTGTTCTGTTTGGTTTTGAGTCGTACGATCTGCAGGATGCTGGAGTTGGTGACGTCCGAGACTATGTCAGACACTCGTTTCCAAACCCTCAGCAAAGCTCCACACAGCATGTGATACTGCCTGAGACGCATCCCCAGAAAACACTCCTGGCCCTCCTCGATCTGCTTACACTTACCCTTCCTGCGAGAAACACACGGATATACAACACTCTTTAAGTTTGGTCACATTTACAAAACAAAAGTGAACTTTCATGAGCAAAATCCAGGAATTGTGCGTCTGATGGTGAATAAATGTGCTCATGCATTTACTTTTTGTATCATCTGTGAAATTACGCAGTAATTTAACTTATAATAAACTTAAGTTGCATTGCTGTTACAATAATTAGCTCAAATTGCAATAAAAAAAACAATATTTTTTTTTCTAGCACTGAGAACATCTTAATGGGTTAATAGGGTTAAAGTCTTTACAGTACTGTTTGCTCTCACACACACACACACACACACACACACACACACACTCACCAATTGGCATGGGTGCAGCTGCTGAAGGAGAACTCAAATTGACTTTCCCAATAATCCTTTGCTTCATCAGGTGTCACCTTTAGAGCGGGAAGAAAAACACTTTTTGTAGTAAAAGTGCCATGAAAAGTGGCAAAAACTATTTTTAAAATGCCATTGTTGATTGTATTTTAGTTAATCAAACATCAGTAATCCCGGTCTAAGAGGAAAGTGAAGGAGGTTTTTGATTATAAAAATTATAAATCAGCTCTGAAAACACTTAGAGCAACTCTTGAAAGTTGAATTGTATTCAGAGGATTTATTAAAGAGGTCATATTATGCCCTTGAGTCGTGATTTCGGGCTCTACTAGAACAGGTTTTCCTGCTTGAATGTTGATTATTCTCCTCATATTCTCCATTGTTGCGGCTCCTCTCTTCCCAGTCTGTCAGTAATGCTCTGTTCACTTCCTGTCCCTCCTTCTGAAAAGCACACTGTGCTCTGATTGGTCGGCTGGATCAGTGTGTTGTGATTGGTCAAGCGCTTTGAGTGTGTTCGTGAAATGTCCCGCCCCTTTTCATAACCGCCAGTTTAACACACTACTAACTCAACTAGGCCCCGCCCCTTTATTCTGCATATTAATTATTTAAATGAGGAATATTGTGACGTGTCGTAACTCAAGACTACAATGGAGGCGTGAAACACTGAGCTCACAACATTACACACTAAACACAGATGAACATATCCGTGAACATACCTTCAATCTGGTATTGAGCTCACGTTTAGACCAAACAATCAAAAACGTGTGTTCCTGAGCACCAGACGTCACTGTGCAGCCGATTTAACGTTACACTGATGTGTGTGAGATGTGGGGTCAGATTATTATGCATGTTGTACCTTGTAGTATCTCAGGAGGAGGTTGTCCAGGTTCTCGGGATGGGCCTGTTTACCGATGTTGGGTTTATACAGGATGAGGTTTCGACCACGACCCTGTTCTGCAAGCAGGACACACGGCTGGTTCCCACGCAGCTGAACACACAAAAACAAAACGCTCAAAGATGGCTCGTAATTGGAAACATTTTAATATTTGCAATGTTGGTAATCATGTAATCGGTCGATTATTTTGAAGATTAATCGAGAAATCGGATACATTTTGTGTGCTAAAAATAGAGATATGGTGAACAAAATAACTTAAAATACATGAGACGATAATTGGTTCAACTAAAGTATAAAAAGCAAGTGATCATATGGTTTTATTGACCAACTATTGAAATATATAATGAGACGCACATTTACATGCAATTAAACCCACAGCACATGTATTTGTTTAATTTAATTGCAGCTTTTGTGAATTCACAAATGTTACGATTATTAAATAAAACGGTCTAATAACGCGGTTCATGGATTCTCGTCTGTGGAAAGTGGCACTATTTTTTCGGTTAATCGATGCTCGAGGATTTTTTCAAATATAATATCTCAAATTTAAAACAAAATGCATAAACATATCAAGCCTGAGTTACTGTCAGACAACAATGTGTGTGTTTTGTACCTTGTTTGAGAGGTAAAACCCTTCATATTCTCCAGAGAGTTTCTCCGCTTTACTGCAGGCCTCTTCCCAGGGCATCCCACGATCCACACTGATCTGAACACAGCCATAGAATAACGTCAGGACAGACTTTTTTGACCTTTTTCTTTTGCTCAAGGCTGCATTTATTTGATCAAAAATACAGTAAAACAGTGAAATATTACAATATTAAATAGCAGTTTTCTATGTGAATATATTGTAAACGTATTTATTCCAGTTTTCAGCATCATTACTCCAGTCTCCATTGTCACATGATCCTACAGAAATCATTCTAATATGATGATTTGATGCTCAAGAAACAATTATGATGGTTAGTGTTGAAAACACTTGGAAACTGTGGTATTTTTTTTTTTAAGATCCTGAATAGAAAAAATTTACTTAAAAAAGCCCCTTTGTTACATTACTACTGTATTTACTAGGGATGGGGAACGATTAATCGCATCCAAAATAAAAGTTTGTGTTTACATAATATATGTGTGTGTGGTGTGTATAATTAATTTGTATATATAAATACACACACACATGAATGTATATATTTATACATAATAAATATTATATATAAAAATAAATATTTGATATATTAATAACAAATTTTTCTGAAATATATACATGCATGTGTGGGTATTTATATATAATTATACACACCACACACACATATATTATGTAAACACAAACTTTTATTTTGGATGTGATTAATCGCGATTAATCGTTGCCCATCCCTAATATTTACAGTGACTTCTGATCAATTGAATGTGTCCTCGCTGAATAAAAGTATTACTTTCTTAAGAGCTGTTTGTGTTGGGGATGTCACGGCACCAAAATCCCAGTAGTCGGTACCGATACCATTAAAATGTGACGGTTCTCGGTACCACAGCAAAATCAGTTTGAACTATTTTCCCAATTTATTTAACTATTTGAAGAAAATATTAAATTCAATCCAATCACTTTATTATTTATGGCGGTAAATTTATGAAAGCATTGAAGGCTACATGCTGTTTAAATGAAAATATTGATGATATTTAGAAATATTGCTTATAAAAAAATTAAGTGAAAAATAAGCAACCTTCTATGCATACATTATTATTATTAGTAGTAGTAGTAGTATTTTTAATTAATGGAGACGTAGTTAAATCTATTGTACTGTAGCCTAATATAATTATTTCTGTCAACTTCTGTCAAGTTAAACCAAACTTTTATTTTGACTAGGGATGGGCAACGATTAATCGCATCCAAAATAAAACTTTGTGTTTACATAATATATGTGTGTGTAGTGTGTATAATTAATTTGTATATATAAATACACACACACATGAATGTATATATTTAAGAAATATTTGCTTTTACATCCTTCATATATATTTATACATAATAAATATTATATACAAAAATAAATATTTGATATATTAATAACACATTTTTCTTAAATGTATACATGCATGTGTGGGTATTTATATACTTTTAAAACTTTTATTTTGGATGCGATTAATCGCGATTAATCTTTCCCCATCCCTAATTTTGACGGGTTGCCGTGAAGACCTTTGAGTTTGTGTCCGTGTTTGATATGACGATAGTTTTTCTCAAATGAAAGGGTAAAATCCTCATGAAGTGACTCTTGGAGATGAATGAAATCATGAATCATGCGCATCCGGGTTTGACCAGGTACTCGGCACCTACAATACTTACTGTACTGTGACGTTAAATTTTTTTTAGTACCAACTTGGTACCAAAGTACCAAATATTTTGACTATTAACACTAATTGTGTTCTGTAATTGAAGAGTGTGTAACTGAAGAGGAACACAGATGTACCTTATAGAGCATGACCTGGCCCTCCTGAGGGTTTCCTGGAGTTAGAAACTTCTCCTGCGTTTCCTCGTGAATCTCATCATTACCAGGAGCAAGATCTGAACACACCGGACATGAGAACATCAATCTCATCATCATACACACACATACAGAATGGGAAATTGACAAAAACACAAAAATTCACAAATTTTTATTTATTTTACATTTTTTTGATAAAAAATTGTTTTTGAGATTGTTTCAAATATATATTCAAATCCAAAAAAAAAGTGTTCATAAACATCTGGGGAATTCACATGCTTCTCCATAGAGAGCTGTACATGCCATCTAGTGGTTACACCATGATTCTACGCTTTTTCTCTATACTGTAACCAGATGGTGCTAATTTTCTTCAAAAATTTTTTTTTTTCTGAAGGCCTAGACTCTATATTAAACTAAAATACTGCATTAATAATTTGAAAAGAAAAAATATATATATATATATAGAAAAATATATATATTTTTACATGGCAAAATAGACCATAAATATTCCATAAATATTAATAAATTCAATCAAATTGTCTCAAAATACAAAATTACAATGAATAAATATTATGGAACAAAAATAAAATGGCATTGGTTTTACTGGGATGGAGGAAATTTAATTTTTAGGTGTCCGGTCACTTTTGACCGGGAAGATAACAAGCGTGACTCCGAAACGAAGAGCACCTGAGGGTTAATAAAATGTGCACAGTCACATGATTCCTCACCCAATATCCCCATGTCATATTTCCCCTCTTTTTTGTCCTTGTTGATCAGGTAGTCGAAGTTATCGGTGAAGTACTGGAACAGAAAGTTCTGCTGATGGACCTCCAAACCCAAAATACGGTTCAGAAACTTAGTGAGGGTGCAGTCTGGGTTACGGGAAGAAAAGAAAGCCAATTAGCCACATGGTTGCACATAACTTGCATATATTCAATTCATTTCTTGCATGTAATTTACTTACATTTCTGTATATAAATGTGATGAAACACCACAGACAGGATTTACATCAGTTATGCATTATTATATTACATCCAGAACAAATGTACATTGTTCTCAGAGTGCATCTCTGTAAATTCAGGTTTGAGTAAATCAATAATATTAAAATATCAGCACAAATTTACACTTTATTTTAAATGTGCCTTACATACAGTGTACTTGCACATTTAAGTAGGATTAATATCGGTATTGATATAAAAAGTGGTATCGGTGCATCCCTATCAATTAACAAATTAGAATTAGGGTTAATTGCATGTAATTATGCATAATTTACTCTTATTATTATAGTAAATACAAGTAATGTGTAAAAATACAAATGTAAAACAAAGTATTATCCAGCACATTATTATCCATATTAGTCATTAATAATATTATTATCAATATATATTTCTAATATCAATATACATCTAATATCAATATAATTCTAATATCAATATATGAAGAGTTCAGATGCAAAAGCCTCTAAATGCCATTTGAAATTTTCTTCTTTAATGATGATTATCAAACTTGTATATTTAAGTTCAGTAATTTCACTTAAATAACAATTAATAGGTAATTATCATTGCCATTTAAGTGAAATCACTGAACTTAAATATACAAGCTTGATAAAAATGATCATTCTAGAAGAAAATTTCAAATGGCACTTAGAGGCTTTTGCATCTGAACTCTTCATATATAATAATATTATTATCAATATATATTTCTATCACTAATAAGTATGAAAAAATTATTCCTGCATGTAAATGTGATGCAACTCGCCAGTTAAGCATCACCACAATGTTACTCCACCAAGAATAACAGTAAATTACATCCAGAACAAATGCACATTACCCATAGACTCTGTGCTGCTCAGTATATTTTTGAAGCTGCAAATTCAGGTTTGACATCAATAATATCAAAATGGCCAAATACTGCACAGGGTTACACTTTATTTTAAATGTGCCTTATATACAGTCAGTGTAATTATACATTTAAGAACTAAGTAATATCAATTAATACGAATATCGGTATTGACGAGTACCAAAAATGAATGAATAGCTCTGGAAAAAAATGGTATCGGTGCATCCCTATCAATTAACAAAATGTACTAAGGCTTAGAATTAGGGTTAATTGCATGTAATTATGCATAATTTACAGTTATTACTATTGTAAATACAAGTAATGTGTGAAAAAGACACTATAGCCCTCAAACCGTATTCACTTTATAGCCCTTAATCCTGTAATTGTGGACAAATGTGGGCACAGAGGACTCCTAATTTTTATTTATTATAAATGTTATATCACTGTCTTCGATAAAGTTTTGTCTATCCATTTGTGGTGTTTTTTTTTAATTTTGGGGGTATTTTTGAATTTATTTACTTCAAAAAGTACCATATTTTTTATGTAAATTATGCTTATTCTTATATTTTATTTATTATTATTTTTTTTAACTACCTAAACATTTAATTCCAATAAGTTCTTAGAGCTAAAACCTAAAGATGAAGTGACTTTGCCGTCACCTGGTGTCTTATTTTGGCTTATTTTAGAATGCTTTAAATTACAGTTTTTCCTATTCATTTCTTGCCCATTTTTGACCCAAATACAAGATTACGGAGTTTTTTTCACCCACTTAACATTGTAGAATTGAGTCAAAAAAAAATATGTGTGTTCAGGAGGCAAACTTAGGAATAGTAGCCGCTCAGATCAAGGGAAGTATTTTTTTTTTAAATAAATCAAAACTATTTTGCCCACATTTGTCCAGAATACGGTTTTAGGGATAAACAAAGTACTTATATTTTCATCACCCATAAGTATGCAAATGCAATGGTTGTATTAATCATTTAAAACAAAGATTAACAGTAAATCATCCATTATAGTCTCAATATTGTGGTGTTCCTGTATTACATTTACCTTTCTCTGTATTCAGACCCAGACGCGGCTCCCTACAGAAGATCCCCACATCAATCATGCCTTTCTTCATATCTGACACACACACAAGTGAATATTAAAATCAGTGCACTCAAACATTACAGTGTCATGTTATTTCACACAAGCTAAAATAGGAAGCAAGAGTAGGATTTAGTGTGTCCGAAATCACAGTATGGATTCAGTGAAGCACATCATTACCCCTGAAGAACATGTCTCCTCCTGGGTAGCCCTTTGGTGGAGGGACTTTGTTGTCGATGTGCCCGAGGATGGCTTTAGTGATCTTATCCAACGCTTTGGTGCCATACTAAGATAAAACACAAGACAGGCCATCAATAAACAGCTTCTGGTTCAAACTAGAGTTTGATTTCACTCCGACCGGTCGCTTTTCACATTGTATGTGTGGTTCTGATATTGTATATTTGCAATATTAAAGATTTTGCCCAACTGTGAGCCATATTGCAGTTCATATGCGTCTTCCTGGTTCAGAACAAAAATAATCAAGTCAAATGGCCACCAATGTGAAAGTCTGTTATTGTTAACTAGAGCTAAAATTATTTAAAACAAAAATAAAGCTGATGAAAAAACTTAAACTTGCATTTAAACGGAAATTAGAAATGTTGCTTTGACAATTCATTTAATATAGAGTTTAAGTGGTTAAATTACTTTGTGGTTTTAAGTGGTTAAATTAAGTGGTTAAAACTAAAAAAATATATAGAAATACGCAACTAAAAAAGACAAAATTCATAGCAAAATTACAGAAACAAATAAAACTGTTTCAAATTATATTAATAAAAACTATAATGGTACCAACTATGTTTTAGTGACTAAAATGACACTAGTGAAGGCAATCTAATGACGTCACAAGAGGAAAACACTCTTACTTTGTTCTCGAAGTTGTACTGGCTCAGATCTCTGGATTCAGTGGCTCGTCGGTCCCCGTGTGTCAGCGCCCCCTAAAACACACAACACACAGTTTAATGTGTGTTTATCATCTCCATAAACATGCTCTACACATCTGACACCTTTAACCCTAAAACCGTATTCTGGACAAATGTGGGCAAAATAGTTTTGATTTATTTTAAAAAAATACTTCCCTTGATCTGAGCGGTACAAGACTTGGCTATTTTTCCTAAGTTTGCCTCCTGAACACATACAATTTTTTTTTTTGACTCAATTCTACAATGTTAAACTCCTTAATCTTGTATTTGGGTCAGAAATGGGCACCCATAGAAATGAATGGGAAAAACTGTAATTTAGAGCATTCTAAAATAAGCCAAAATAAGACGGCAAAGTCACTTCATCTTTAGGTTTTAGCTCTAAGAACTTATTGGAATAATATTTTAATGTAGTTAAAAATATTTTAAAAATAAAATAAGCATGATTTACATAGAAAATATGGTACTTTTTGAAGTAAATAAGTGCAAAAATACCCCCAAAATAAAAAAAAAACATCATAAATGGATAGACAAAACTTTATCGAAGACAGTGATATAACATTTATAATAAATAAAAATTAGGATCACACCTGAGTCCTCTGTGCCCACATTTGTCCACAATTACAGGATTAAGGGCTATAAAGTGAATACGGTTTGAGGGTTAAGCAGTTTCTCTAGCATGTAGTCTCTGGACAAAAAAATCCTCTGATGATGCAAAACAACGATTTTCCAGATTAAAAAAATACATAGATCTCTCGTCTCAGGGGGATATGAGGGTGGAAAGCACAGTGATTCGAAAATACTACAGGTTTTCTACTAATACAAAGCTTAATGCTAAATCCTGAAGTATCCCTTTAAGGAAATTATATTTTATTTAAGCACAATAGTTTCAAACGGTATGGCATTTTAAAAAGTGAATGTTGTTTTATTTCAATAAAGATGCAATGCTTTATTTGGTTTATATTTGAAGAGTTCAGATGCAAAGGCCTCTAAATGCCATTTGAAATTTTCTTCTTTAATGATGATTTTTATCAAGCTTGTATATTTAAGTTCAGTAATTTCACTTAAATGGCAATGATAATTACCTATTAATTGTTATTTAAGTGAAATTACTGAACTTAAATATACAGGTTTCATAAAAATCATCATTAAAGAAGAAAATTTCAAATGGCATTTAGAGGCTTTTGCATCTGAACTCTTCATTTGCTTATTGCGCCCTCTTGTGGGAATGCAGTACTTTTTTTCCTCTAACATTAACAGAGTAGGTCACTTTTAAAAAAAACTTTTGCTGATAATTTACTCGCCCCCATGTCATCCAAGATGTCCATGTCATTCTTTCTTCAGTCGAAAAGAAATTAAGGTTTTTGATGAAAACATTCCAGGATTTTCTCCATATAATGGACTTCAATGGGGTCCAAACGGTTCAAGGTCCAAATGAGAGTTTCAGTGCAGCTTCAAAGGACTTTAAACGACTCCAGACGATGAATAAGGGTCTTTTTTTAAAAGCAATAATAAGCAATTTTTTTAAAAGTGAACTACTCCTTTAAGTATTGCCTATATAATTTTAATTTTGCTGAAATTAAAGAAACTCTAATTTAGCTTTTCAGCCATTTTGACAGCCCTGAACTATATCAGCTTATAAATAAACCGCAACTGAAAACACTGAATTTGGGAAAAAATGAAATGGATATCTTCGAGCTCATAAGTGTATATAACATCCGACTTTACCAGGCTCTCCAATCTCTTGGCCACGATGGAGGCGAAGCGTCTCTCTCCAGCCAGCTCAGAGATGAGGAAGATATACTCAGGAGCCGTAACCTGATTTGAGCGATGTGTTCGACCTGATACACAGATACAATATTAGAAACCACCACAATGTTTCTCAAAGGCAAGGCAGGTTTATTTATAAGGCCCACTTCATACACAGCGGTCATTCACAGAAACAAATTAAAATAAAAGCAAGGAAAATTAAAACAGTTATAAAAGAGATACAGGTGAAACTGGAAAAATTAGAATATCATGCAAAAGTTCATTTATTTCAGTAATTCAACTTAAAAGGTGAAACTAATATATTATATAGACTCATTACATGCAAAGTGAGATATTTCAAGCCTATAATTATGATGATTATGGCTTACAGATATGAAAACCTTTTCACAATATTCAAATTTTGATTCATTTTGACTAACATTATAACAAATAAAGGCTTGAAATATCTCACTTTGCATGTTACATGAGTCTATATAATATATTAGTTTCACCTTTTAAGTTGAATTATTGAAATAAATGAACTTTTGCACCATATTCTCATTTTTCGAGATGATAGATATATTAACTTCACATCTGGTAAACACCGGTGTATCATATTTTTCAGATATGATAAATATGAGATTAAGAAATCTCACTCACCGAACTGCTGGATGGCGCGGTCTGCGCTCCACGGCAGCTCTAAGGTCATGTGAACTCTTCTCCTGCGGTTCTGCACACGTTTGTCCGCCTGTAGAGAAATACCCGAACTAGCCGCTTCAGAGATGATGGCTATCAGCTGCGAGAGAAACACACACAGGATGACTTGCATTAGATATTTGAACACTTCATTATATGCCACAAATATCCTGAATCCCGCTCTGGGTCGTGTTGTGTGTTTGTAGGTCAGAGGTCGTCACCTTTTCTCCTGTCATGAAGCGCTCTTTCTCTCTGACGTTGACATGGTCGATGGTCAGGCCCTGCTCCGCTCGGGTCTCATATCGCACGCTGCCATCAGGACGCCTCACCACACGTCCCTTTCGACCCGTCATCTGCACACACACACACACAGAGACGGACACAGAGACACACATGCCCAGAGACACACACATTTAGCATTTTACTTGTGTGTCATAGCATGATGTGAACAGGCATCAAGTGTCTCAAACTAAACTATAAGAGCACTATTATAGTATTATTTATATTTCATTAAAGTATTTATTAATATTTTGAAATAGCTTTTATTTGTATATCTTCATTTTAATATGAAAGTTTTTATTTGTATATCTTCATTTTAATATGAAAGTTTTTATTTGTATATCTTTATTTTAATATGAAATAGTTTTTATTTGTATATCTTCATTTTAATATGACATAGTTTTTATTTGTATATCTTCATTTTAATATGAAATAGCTTTTATTTGTATATCTTCATTTTAATATGAAATAGTTTTTATTTGTATATCTTCATTTTAATATGAAATAGCTTTTATTTTGTATATCTTCATTTTAATATGAAATCGTTTTTATTTGTATATTTTCATTTTAATATGAAATAGCTTTTATTTGTAGATCTTCATTTTAATATGAAATAGCTTTTATTTTGTATATCTTCATTTTAATATGAAATAGCTTTTATTTGTATATCTTCATTTTAATATGAAATAGTTTTTATTTTGTATATCTTCATTTTAATATGAAATAGTTTTTATTTGTATATCTTCATTTTAATATGAAATAGTTTTTATTTGTATATCTTTATTTTAATATGAAACAGTTTTTATTTGTATATCTTCATTTTAATATGAAATAGCTTTTATTTGTATATCTTCATTTTAATATGAAATAGTTTTTATTTGTATATCTTCATTTTAATATGAAATAGTTTTTATTTGTATATCTTCATTTTAATATGACATAGTTTTTATTTGTATATCTTCATTTTAATATGAAATAGTTTTTATTTTGTATATCTTCATTTTAATATGAAATAGCTTTTATTTGTATATCTTCATTTTAATATGAAATAGTTTTTATTTGTATATCTTCATTTTAATATGAAATAGCTTTTATTTGTATATCTTCATTTTAATATGAAATAGCTTTTATTTGTATATCTTCATTTTAATATGAAATAGCTTTTATTTGTATATCTTCATTTTAATATGAAATAGCTTTTATTTGTATATCTTCATTTTAATATGAAATTTTGTTAATTATTATTTTGTTTTGTTATGTGCTTTTGTCATTTGCCTATTTTTATTTTTATTTAACATAATTTATATTTATTTCAGTTATTTTAGTACCTCCTTTTTTTACATCAGTTAGTTAAGGACATTTATTTTATTTATACCTAATTTTTCAAATTATAATTATAATTTAAAAAAGAAAGCTTTATATTAATGAACGAAGGTGATTTTAAATATTTTAAAATAACAAAACACAAACTCTGAGTGAAAACTGTTTGGTAAACACGACTGTTTTCTTGTGGACCGATAAAACCGCCATATTATTTATTATTATAATTATTATTATTATATATTAGGCCACATTTACACTGCAGGTCTTGATGTATGGAATGCCAAAGCTAACTTAATTAAAATAAATATATACATAAATAAATATACAAAGAAATGTAAAAAAGCAAAAATGCAAAAATAAATAAATAAATAAATATACAAAGAAATGTAAAAAAGTACAAATAAATGAGTATTTATACTTTTATTTCCATATTTATGTATAATTGTATTTTTCCACACATTTATTTATTTATTTCTACATTTATTTACTTCCACTTTTATTTGTTTCCACATTCATTTATGTATTTATGTTTTTATGTCTACATTTATTTATTTTCACATTTATTTATTTCTACATTTATTTATTTCCACATTCATTTATTCCAACATTTCTTTCTCCGTATGTTAATGAGGGGGGCGTGTTTTAACTCAGACATAAGCAATCGAGCTCAGAGTGGCAGTGCTGAAGCTTTGAGGCCACAGTGACACCTTGTGGTGTTTGACCAAACGAAACGCAAGAGCTGTGCAGGCAATATCATATGCAGGCTTTTTTACATTTCTTCGTATATTTATTTATTTTTAATTAAGTCAGCTTTGGCATTCCATATTGATGCCCAATTACGATTTGGTGACTATATCAGCTTTTTGGGTCACTTGAACCAGTGTAAATGAGGCCTAAGTGTTAGTCAGTAATATACTAATCAATGTGGCCATCTAAATCTAATATTAATGTAAGATTTGTTTCAAACATACTGGTGAGACTCAACACAATGCATTATTGGTGATTCTCACCTCTGACACCTTCTCTGGTCCTCCAAACCTGTCAATCAGCTCGTCAAGAGTGTTGAGTGGCAGCTCTTTGCCCAGCTCTGCTATTTTACCCAGCAGCCTCAGCTTGAGTTCTTCTAGTTTAGCTGAAAACACACACACGCACACACAGGATGACTTCAGCACTTTAATCACTCCTGTGTGGTTTAGCCGTCTAGACAGAAATTAGGCCTGATTTAATAAGCTGCATCTGCACTCCTTCAATCCCTGAATGAACAGAACAGCAGGAGTACATTCTTCTAAAACACACCGTGACTATAATGTGCAAGAGACCAGAAAAAAACAACGGCATAATATAATTTAAATGTACAAGTTATAAAAATGAAATAATCACCCCCCTCACAGTTGACATGAAGGGCAAAATTAGCTATAAAGACCAAAACCACTTTTTGGATCATTCTGCTGTTGAATTTGGGGGTCTATGGGATTGACTCGGTTTTGGAGCCTCTAGTGGCCAGTTGATGAATTGCAGTTTAAATCACTTCCGTGTCGCACAAAGAGAAACACTCTAAGACTCAACAAATAGATCGAAATTGTGATTTTATCTTGCATTCAAGTCAACCTACCAGCAGGCCCGTTGATTTGGTTCACGAAAATCACATCATCATTGTCCTGTAGTGATTCAGGGGAGGAGTTCGATTCGCTGTCGAGCTCATCTGAGTCGGTGTCGGAGTCGTCGCTGATTTTAATAACCCCGCCCACTTCCACACAGTGCTTCGGAAATTTTGCAGTCCGTCCTCTGGGCTTTCCTTCAGAAAACAAAGGAACGGGTTCAGAAAATATTCGTGACAAAACCCCAGGTTTAACCCGGCACAAATTTTCAAAGGATAATAAGATGCGTCTCACGTTTCCTCTTGCTTGCGGCACTTTTCTCTCTTTTGGGTTTCTGTGTTGGGAAGTGTTTCTGCACTAATGACTGGAAAACACCCCTAACATGACAAAAACACACAAATCTCATAATCACAGAGCATAAATTCTGATTGGCCTATTGGGGATTTGTTGGAGATTTCCATTAGGACTGTCACTTTTGTGAAAAAATCCTGTTCGATTTTTGAGACATAATTGTTCATTGAATCGATTTTCCATGTCTAAAAACGTTTCCATTTTCAACACCAAATACAGGCAAATCCACGGACACCTAAATGGCATTAGGACGAGCGTAAAGAGGCGCTTGAGACGCACAAGTCGGCAATATTTCTGATGATTTGTGAAAATTAACCTCTTAAACCTCTTAGACATTGAAATGCTCATGTCAAACTTAAATGGTTGTAATTCAAGAATGCTTTGGAATATAGACGTAAGATTGGTCTCGTTTTTTGGTCTCGATTTTTGTCGAAGTGAAATAAATTAAGAAAGTGAAACAGAAAAAAGGTTATAGAAGTTTGAGTTTATAGAAATGTACAATGTAAAACAATTAATTATTCATATTTTATATAAAATATATATTTTCAAAACCTGGGCTACTCTAAAACTGCAGAAAAATCAAAGCAAGTTATGTTTAAAATTTTAGGTTGATATCTCAAAAAATGAGCTTTAAAGGAACACTCTGACTTTTTGGGACTTTAGCCTATTCACCTTACCCCCCAGAGTTAGATAAGTCCATACATACCTTTTTCATCTCCGTGCGTGCTATAAGTCTGTTTGACGCACCCACCGCTAGCCTAGCTTAGCACAAAGACTCGATGTGACTTGTTGCAGCTTTCATACTGATCCAAATGAGTGGCAAAATAACGCAAACGTTTTCCTATTTACATGTTGTGGTTTGTATAGTCACAGAGTGTGCAAATATCAAGGCCATATGAGACACAGATATCTTTTGACCGTATAAATACTATATTTTCTGAAGGGGAAGCACTGCTACTTGGGCAGAGTGATAACAATCACCTGAGACGCACCGTGACGAGGAGCAGAGAGTTCGCTTCGCTCAGCGTTGGAATAAAGAGTCAGCAATTACTAACGTTAGATAGAAAAGCAAAGTTTATCACGGGTGTGCTTTATTGTATGAGCTGTGACAATAAACAGGGGAGACCAGGTAATACAGTACCATGTTTCATTGATTTCCAACCAAAAACGCACCCAGATTTATAAATATCATGAATAAATAATTATTATTACAGGAATCAATATATTTTAAATGCAATTTATTAGCTGAACCAAATGTATTCAACAGTAGCCTATATATAATACAGTATTGCATTACTATAGGATAGAATAAGGGGAAAGTAATAGCACAAATTGTTTTTGCACAATGAACTCACAGCCTATCGTACCCTTTTGCACGCTCAAGTTCGTTATTTCCATGGTTATTTCAAATTTAGGCGCGCCGCGCGCAGGGTGCAAGTTCAACGCGGTGAACGCGCTCGTTTTTTTTTCCCCAAGCGCGTCCGCACCGCATCAAGATAAAAACATATTCATACCCTAATCATATAATAGTGTCACTAACGTTACATTAGATCTGGCTAATAATGGCACTGTTACAGTAGGTCATCTAAAAACATAACGGAACACTTACCTCAGCCGCAGGTGATCCACTTGTCCTGTCTGTGCTATCGATGGGATGGCCGTATCCTTCAGCACATTATGGTCCGTGTGGCAAATTCCATTTTTTCAAAATAGTCGTCCTCATTGAAATGTACCGAGCAAACATAATGTCCCTTGATAATCTTAGGTGTGTTTGGATAAATATCCAGAGTAAGTTAGCCATTTCTTCATCCAGTCAGCGTTTTTAGTTGGAATTCTGTGAAACACGGTTACCTCCCCTGTTTACTGTCGCAGCTATTTACAATAGAGCGAAAACCCATGACTCTAAACTACGCTTTTACTATTTATAAATTGCTGACTCTGTTACCCAAACACCGAGCGAACTCTCCGCTCCTCACCACGGCGTGTCTCCGGTGATGCGGTTATTACGCCGTCAAAGTAGCAGCTGCTTCGCCTTCAGAGAACAGTTCCCAGGTTTTACACGGTTAAAAGATGTCTGTGTCTTATTTGACTTTATTATTTGTACATTATGTGACTATACAAATCACAACATGTAAATGGGAAAACGTTTGCGTTATTTTGCCACTCATTTGGATCAGTATGAAAGCTGCAACAAGTCACATCCAGTCTTTGTGCTAAGCTAGGCTAGCGGTGGGTGCGTCAAACAGACTTATAGCACGCACGGAGATGAAAAAGGTATGTATGGACTTATCTAACTCTGGGGGGTAAGGTGAATAGGCTAAAGTCCCAAAAAGTCAGAGTGTTCCTTTAAGTGAGATTTAGTTTGGGCGCAGTACCGAACGCTTCCACTAGGGCACAACCAGACTCCATTACAGCTCATATAAGGGCGCCTCCATTTCCATGTGTTTTGAGTGATATGAACCATTATTTTCACAAATTTCACACAATTTATGAAGTAGAAATCCTATTCAGAAGTAGTATGGGAAGTTTGGCAGATTTTGATATGAATTCAACCTCTAGGAATCACATACAAAGAATTATAGCTTATTGCCATCACACAAATGGTGAACCTATTATTTTTTTTTCGTATTATTTAAAACATTTTCAGACCTTTTTTTTTTAAAATAATTGAATGGATGCAATCTTTTGACCTCTTGGCATGAAATGAAACTGAAGTTTCTAACTTTTTTTTCATGATTTTTCATGTTCACTGCTATTTCAAAATAAAGGTCTGAACACGCTTTATGAGTATGAAAATATTCTTGCTCCTTATTCTTGTTGTGCACTGATTGAAAATGGCTAGCTTTGAAGAGTTTCGGCGCACTCACTCAGCAGCGGAGACGAATCTGTCCAGGTGTCCATCGTTCTCGTCCAGGACCTCTCGAGTACGAGCCTCTCCGGTGGACTGCAGGCCAATCACGATGCACTGTTTCAGATGACATGGGAGAGAGGCCATTTTACACAATTAGTCAAACACTTAAAACATGGTTTCCACACTTTTAAAAATTAATTTACCTTCCCAGATGTCTGTCTGGGAATACCAAGTAGGGCTGCACAATAAAAGTTGATTTAAAAAAAAAAAAGGTTCCAGGTTTGATGCACAATTTTGCCAAAAATGCTGTGATTATGCATTTATATATTATTATATATTAATAATAACAACAATGATAATTATTATTTTTATCATCCCCATTTACGATCATTATTACTAAATAAAATGTTAATAATAACATAAGAAATCTTACTATTGTAATATATCTCATAAGAGATCATTTTATTTTACAATACAGCTGTAAATCACAATATTAATATTTAAGGCTTTATGTCTTAATTTTTTAAACATTAAAGGATTAGTTCACTTTTGAAAAAACTTTTGCAGATAATTTACTCACCCCCATGTCATCCAAGATGTCCATGTCTTTCTTTCTTTAGTAGAAAAGAAATTAAGGTTTTTGATGAAAACATTCCAGGATTTTCTCCATATAATGGACTTCAATGGGGTCCAAACGGTTCAAGGTCCAAAAGACCTTTAAGTACAAACTGCAAACTTGTTCAAAGGGCTTTAAATGATTCCAGACGATGAATAAGGGTCTTATCAAGCGAAACGTTTTATAAATGAATAACATATTTTAAGTTTTATAAGCTCAAAAGCTCGCCATGCTCTGTTCTGTAACGCACTGCTGTTCAAACTCGTTTATCAAAATGAACAAATCTTTTTCGAGTCATTTGGTTCATTCGGCCAAAGAAACGAACAAATTGATTCGGAAAAAGATTTGATCAATTTTGTTGAACGAGTTCGAACAGGAGTGCGTTACAGAGCAGAGCATGGCGAGCGTTTGAGCTTATAAAACTTAAACTTTGTTATTTTTTTAAAAAAATGAGCGATCGTTTTGCTTGATAAGACCCTTATTTATCGTCTGGAATCGTTTAAAGCCCTTTGAACAAGTTTGCAGTTTGTACTGAAAGTTTCTTTTGGACCTTGAACCGTTTGGTCCCCATTGAAGTCCATTATATGGAGAAAAATCCTGGAATATTTTCATTAAAAACCTTAATTTCTTTTCGACTGAAGAAAGAAAAACATGGACATCTTGGATGACACGGGGGTGAGTAAATCATCAGCAAAATTTAAATAATCAAGCTTTTATTTTGTGGGAAAGCCTTCTCTATTGTTGATAACGGTCTGTTTATAAGAGCTTATAATCGGAAGTTGTTGCCGTATGTTATACATTCCACGCAACAAACACAGAGCAGATGCAAAGATGGAGTTCGTATGGATCAGAGACGATCTGATTCACCGAGTGTGTAAATAAACACAGTGCCGCGCTTCACTCTGAAACACGCATCGCATACATTTATTTAATTAAATCACAGACTTTGCGATTTGACTATCGCTCTAAGCCAATTTTGGTTTAATTTCGATTAATCTTGCAGCCGTATTAAGGGCAAGGATATTTAAAACCTTTTACATTTAAAACAGTCAGGGTTCGTACAATTAAATTCCAAGATTTTAGTACTTTTCAAGCACTACTTTTTAGTTTTTTTGGATCACAAGAGATCTCACATGCCTTTTTTTTAGTCAAATTCTAAAAAAAAAAGGTAAATGAATTAATAAAAACGAAGTAACAAAACAAAATCACACAAATAAAGTACATCAAATGCAATGACTGTGGTAAATTTACGACTGAAAGGACACTATGATAAGATATGGCTTTGCTTGTTCAAATTGTTTTTCTCATGAATATATGATTGACCTGAAGAATGAAAGCTGTATCATACACTAGGATATTTATGAGCAATATCACACTCACATCCATGCGAAATGTCTCTATTATCAGTCGGGCTGCAACATTAATTTTACATGAAAAGATTGTTTTATCAATCAAATTGAACACTAATTTCACATATATTGTCTTTCAATAATTCAGGCACTTCTCAAGTACCTTTTATTCTCAAGGGGTTTCCAGGACTTGCATTTCAGAAGGTCAAAGCACTTAAAGGACCTTGTACCTGAATAGTAAAACCTTTCTATGGGTTTATATAACAAGCAAAAGCACAAACATTAATCCCGACTCACGTTGCCGTGTTGCATCTCAATTTGAGCGAGCTCGACCAGGCGACGGACTTTAGCGGCGATGCAGAGGTACTTGAAAAACCTCTGGTGTGACGCCCAGAACTGACCCCAGAGAGACTTCCGGGAGGCCAGACCCAGCGTGTCTGCAGCTCGGGTGAACAACTCCAGAGCCTCAGCCCACTACAGAGAGGAAGAAGGCTAATCAGTGGACAAATCATGGCAGACTGTCTTAGGTTACGTCTACATTAATCTGGATACATTAGAAATTGCATCTTAAAGGTGCATTGTGCAAGATTTTTTTGCAGAACTACACCCCCTCTGGCGACAAGCGAAACTGCAACCAGAGGTGGACCACACAACACACACTTGCACGAGCTGTTCATAACCAAACGAGCATCAGCCGCACACATCTTCTGTTAGTCATAATGTCTTCAGAAGTAATAAAGCAGACAATAGCGACACACATAATCATTCAGCGGTGCAGAAATGCACTGTAAACTCTTTTCTTTGATTTATCAATAAAATAGCTTACAAACTGAAAGGTTCTAGTATATATTTCAGTGTTTCCCATAGGATTTTTTTAGGGGGGGGATAAAAGTACACTACATGCTACTGTAGCAGAGCGTGCATGTCATTTTTTTATTATTAGACATCAAAAAGAATGTATAATAATTCAAATCATGTATTATTTTTTTTTTTTTAAATATACAGATATATGAAAAAAATTCACACTAATTCTGTGTTTTGCTGGTAATAAAATTAAGCCATAAAACACAAATTTTATCATAAACTTTGTCAAATAATGTGCTGCACAATGAGCTTTACTGTTAAAATTAAAACATGGATTATTTCTTAAGTTCAGTTTTGTTTAAAAAATTCATAATTTATTCGTATCAGTGTTAATGTATTATTACATCTGGACATTTCCTATTTCAGGGTGGCTACAGGTATAAACTATTTAAATGTAAGACTTTTTAAGACTTTTTAATACCACTTCTAAATTAAATTTAAGACCAAACTTACGAAATTAAAAATGAAAATATACAGTAATATTTCCAAGTAAACACACTGTCTGTTCGAAATGGTGAAATGACAATAACCAATTGTCAATTGCGTACATGCGGTCGCCTGTGGTGGAGTGAAAAGAAATATAGAAGGCATTTTTATGAACGTCTTAAGCCTTGTATGTTTTAAATAATAAAGCATATCGATAAAGGCTTAGATTTAGTTTTATTAAAGGCATAGAACCAGTTTATTTATAGTGTACTGATAATGGTTTCATATAATTAGTTTATTCATTAAACTAATAAAAAGATAAAACGACTTTGAGATATGTTTGGTAATTGTGCCTTTTAATTTAATAAATTAAAATTAATTTGCTATATTTCAGATCTTAATTTTAATTAACCCTAACTTTATTCTCATTATAAGAATTATAAATAATTGATTTCCGTATAAAATAATAATACAAACACTTAAAAATAAACAGAATAGTACCCTTACGTAGAAAATATTCCACCTGGCTGGCAAAACGATGCATCTTTGCGGTGACATGACAAACATATTTAAGACCTTTCCAATCTGAATTTAAGGAAATTTAATACTTTTTAATGACCCGCGGCCACCCTGTATTTCTACTGTACAACAGTGATATATTTCTAAAGTTAAACCGAACTTTTATTTTGACGGGTTGCCGTGAAGCCCTTTGGAGTTTCTGTGTGTTTGTCATGATGATAGCACGAATTTTATTTCAAGTGTACTGAACCGCTTTCTATTTATTCCTCGAAAATATACAGTAAAATCCTTTTTTATGACTGGATTTCGTCAGCATTTTAAGGGCCGCCCCCCTAAAACAATAGTAGGGGAAACACTATATTTCACAGTTACTAAAACACACAGGTTCACTATTCACACTCAATCGCTCTCTCTCACACTAATGCATTCATTTAAATGTAATCTTTACTACGCTACTTCACCTATATATGATTTACAACGACGAGCAGAAATCTGTGTAAAATACCCAAAGAATTGATCAAATAAGAGCTGGTTTCTCTCACCAGTCTAGCTGCTTTGTTGTAGACCAGTTTGAACTCCTCGTCCAGTGTAATCTCCTCTATCCGGAAGGACACGCCGGAAAAGCTCAGCTGCCGAGCAATATACATGCCACTCACTTTCATATCCATGGCAACAATCTCCATGGCACCAACACCCCTGGAAGAACCAAGGTGAGCATTGAGCAAAGAGTTTATAAGAGTAAAAGTAACAATCTAAGCCATGGTCACTGTGATGCTCGGGATGACCTCTGACCTCTTCTCAATTGCATGCAAGAAGTCGTCAAAGGTCTTGAACGGTGTTCCTTGCCCCCAGATCCCCAATCGGCTCATGTAGATCATATTCTTTGGCTCAGAAGCACCTAGAGAACGAGAATGACAAAGGCAGGAAACTCTTAGATCTCATGAATACTCAAAGACCAAGAGATTTTAATAAATGAAAGCATTTATTAAAAGCACCCACCTGTGGCACTGGCGTACACTACTCTCGCCCGGGGGAGTTTGCTCTGCAAATCCAGGACGGCTTTACCCATCTTGGTGGAAGTCGCATTTTTAGCCTTATGGCACTCGTCAAACACAATCTGACAGAGGTTAAAGGTCAAGGGTCAACAGCACTACTACAATACTTTTGTTAATACACATTTAAAACACGTCAAATGTAAGATTTCAAATAGACGCTGGACGTGAAGGATACGACCCCATCAAAGTTGGGTTTGCACCAGTCCAGGATCTGTTTGAGTCTGGTGCGGTGCTGCCCGCCGGCCTGGCTCTCTCCGATCAGCGCTGAGTATGTGGCGAAAAGAACGCCCTCTGAGGTAGCCGTATCTCCGTATTTAATCTGTATGATGAGGAAAAGATTAATTACTGTTACACCGGAATCAACATTCACATGTGCAATCTGCTCATCTTTTTAAACCATGTTATAAATATTCAAATTACCACAGAATTACTGGGATTTATTTTAGTTTATAGTTCGGATATAAACACTGATGTCTATGGAAGCAATCAAAATAGATCTTATGAAAGTAACTAAACACTTCAAATAATGGTTTTGTCGATTACGTCAAGCAACATTGACAAGTAACTCTTAAAAATGTATTTGTTATTGAATCCAAGAGAAGCTAATTCAAAAAGACGTAATGCATGAATTTTAAAACTTTTTGCCAGTCGAACCCATAACCTTATAAATTGAAAATGTATAAATTAAACTATTAAAAATAATTTTCACTAATTGAAATAAAGCTGAAATAGAAGAAAAAATAAATGGATGCACTTAAAAGAAAATTAGAATATGTTGTGTCTGTAACTAAATGAAATAAAGTTGAAGTATTAAAATTAATAAAACTAAAACTAATGCGTATAAAGAAATAAAATACTTTTTAATATGTAAAAAAACCACAATTTAAAATTTTCTATATTTTTTTTATATTATAATTAGCATATAGTATCATATAATCAATCAATCATTTATTATAATTATGATTTAAATACTAGCTTTTAACTGTAATCTTCCATCACATCTGTAAAAACCCTAGTGATGTAGATAAAACCGTGACGATTCATTTCACAAACCTTATTTAAAGCAAACACAGGGATGTTGAGCGCTTCTATGTCCTTGAGATCTCTCTCAGCATCGTACTTCAGATCATTAGACACACTGAACCTAAAAAATAACCAAGTTCCCTCTGTTATGCATGAAGTCATCATAATGAATGGAGCATTTAAACTCTAAAGGCCCGTGCTTATCGCCAGCGTCATGTTCATACCCGATCGATTTTCACTGTAGATTGAAAATTCACTCCCTGAATCCTATTTGATCTTCAATTCCTCTCCCTCTTATCGAGATTTTTGTAATCGCTGTGGCGTTTGTCAAAGTTCGAATTGTGTTCAGACACCAGAGTCCAGCAGCTCTACATTCATTCTTCCTCTTCGTCGTCTTCTATCAATGCGTGCCACTTTTCCTGTTATCACTGTAAAGCTGCTTTGAAACAATCTATATTGTTAAAAGCGCTGTATAAATGAAGGTGACTTGACTTGAGTGCCACCAAGTGCCATAGACATAATATTTATTACTTTAATGCCAAGTACTGTAAGGCATGTGAAAAAAGAGCTAATCAGATGGTTGGATAGTACAGAGGCGTATTGCATTCACTTGAAAAATCTACTGTTTTATCTCAGAATTTCGAGATAGTTTTATGTAAAAAAATTTTTTGCTCTGTTTTTCTGAATTAACGAGTTTATTTTTCATGAGAAAAAAAGTTTTTGCTCTGTTTTTCTGAATTAACGAGTTAATTTTTCATGGAATTTTTTTTTGCTCTGTTTTTCTAAATTAACTCGTTAATTCAGAAAAACAGAGCAAAACGTTTTTTTTCTCATGAAAAATTAACTCGTAAATTCAGAAAAACAGAGCAAAATTTTTCTCATGAAAAATTAACTCGTTAATTGAGAAAAAAAGAGCAAACATTTTTTCTCATGAAAAATTAACTCGTTAATTCAGAAAAACAGATCAAATTTTTTTTTCATGAAAAATGAACTCGTTAATTCAGAAAAACAGAGCAAAACTTTTTTTTCTCATGAAAAATTAACTCGTTAATTCAGAAAAACAGAGCAAAATTTTTCTCATGAAAAATTAACTCGTTAATTGAGAAAAAAAGAGCAAAAATTTTTTCTCATGAAAAATTAACTCGTTAATTCAGAAAAACAGATCAAATTTTTTTTTCATGAAAAATGAACTCGTTAATTCAGAAAAACAGAGCAAAACTTTTTTTTCTCATGAAAAATTAACTCGTTAATTCAGAAAAACAGAGCAAAATTTTTCTCATGAAAAATTAACTCGTTAATTCAGAAAAACAGAGCAAAATTTTTCTCATGAAAAATTAACTCGTTAATTTAGAAAAAAAGAGCAAAATTTTTTTCTCATGAAAAATTAACTCGTTAATTTAGAAAAACAGATCAAATTTTTTTTTCATGAAAAATTAACTCGTTAATTCAGAAAAACAGAGCAAAACTTTTTTTTCTAATGAAAAATTAACCCCTTAATTCAGAAAAACAGAGCAAACATTTTTTTTTTCCATGAAAAATTAACTCGTGAATTCAGAAAAAGAGCAAAAAAAAATTACATGAAAAGTTAACTCATTAATTCAGAAAAACAGAGCAAAAATTTTTTTTCTCATGAAAAATTAACTCGTTAATTCAGAAAAACAGAGCAAAAATTTTTTTTCTCATGAAAAATTAACTCGTTAATTCAGAAAAACAGAGCAAAATGTTTTTCTCATGAAAAATTAACTCGTTAATTCAGAAAAACAGATCAAATTTTTTTTCATGAAAAATGAACTTGTTAATTCATTTTCTTCAATTTTTTTTTTCAAGTGAATGCAATACGCCTTCGCATGATAGTTTTTAATGCAGCGCGTAAACTGACAAAACTAATCCCAAAAAAATTACCCTTTTACGCCTGCCGTTTTGCGCGTGGATGTGCATACTCACATTGGCGCTCTTTGTTTAGTCACGAGGCGTTACACGTCGGCGAAAAGCGCGTACGATAATCCGTTGCGCACGGGCCTTAAGGTTCACGTTGAAACTCATTTGACTCATCAGGCGTGTTAGGGACACATGTGTGTGTGTGTTTACCATAGTGCTCTCTTCCTTCCCTTTAAAAAGTTCTCCAGGATGATTCCGGCCACAGTGCGTCCCTTCCCGACACCAGCCCCGTCTCCGATCAGAAAACCCGCTCGCTGACCGTTCTGAAGAATCACCTCGTGTTGCTGAAGAACACCAACACACATTATTTTACATCATACATTAATTATTTTATTTGTGTGAGTGTGTATATGAATGTGAGTATTGCTGTAAAAGCAAATTTCGCTGTATGGTTCAACTGCACAATGACAATTAAAGTCTATTCTATTTGTACTAATTCATGTGTTATGGTGTTTTTGTACTTTGTTATTTTGTTTTATGTGATGCAGAGGCTGTATTTTTGACCCCAAGACAAATTTCCCTCTGGGACAATCAATTATGATGATTATGGCTTACAGATATTAAAACCTTTTCACAATATTCTAATTTTGAATTTGGCGTTTTCATATCTGTAAGCCATAATCATCACAATTATAACAAATAAAGGCTTGAAATATCTCACTTTGCATGTAATGAGTCTATATAATATATTAGCTTTACCTTTTAAGTTGAATTACTGAAATAAATGAACTTTTGCACCATATTCTAATTTTTTGAGTTTCACCTGTGTGATGCAGTGACATCATTTCCCTCTAGGAATAAAGTATACCATAACATTTCAGAGTGGAAACAGACAATAACAGAGTAGTATAACAGTACCTGGCAGGCGTAGATGATGGCCTCGAGCTGCAGGGCGGAGAGCAGGCCAGAGTTAATGGTGCTGTCTGGGATGGACAGTGTGTAGGTGATGTCAGGAGGAGGAACGCTGGACAGTGTGTTGGTCTCCACTACGATGTCAGGGTGAGAGATTCCAATAGTAGCTGCACACATGTGAACAGAGCGCTTGTTTGACACGGAAACACCACAAAGTATGAAATCGAGTTGAGTTTTTGCTGTCGTAGGGGTGGGCAGAATGATGGACTAATGTAGAAATGTATGTGTATTAATAACTAGTGTTGTGAAATTTTTGTGAAAACCGAATTGTCAACTTCTTTTTTTTTTTTTAAACTGTCAAAATGCTTTCAGGGTAAACGTGATTGACAAAACATGAGGTTGTATTAATTTTTAACATGCGCAAATTATGGACGAGAATCTCGGACTTATAGACGAGACGACACCAAGGTCAGTAAACGATAAAAGCGAATATATATCAACATTCAATATGACTCACGAGATGAGAAGATTGCAAAATGTAGTAAAAAACTGTTAAAAAATAAATGAATTAAAAAAAAAGAGAAGATATTGCTGATTGCTCTACTACGAGCGTTCATGTTTGCGGTTGCCAGATGTCAATATTTTAAATCCCCAAATCAGAACTTTTCTGTTAAAACTAAAGGATCCATTTTCTGTCCCTGTGATTTTACTCAAATGCTTTACATATTTACAATATCAATATATTAGCAATATATTTTGTTATATTGCAATCTGGCAACCATGAGCACTACACTGCAGATGAAGCGCTGATGCTCTGAAGACACTGAAACAGGTTTCTAAATCAGCCAATTTGCTTGTAAAAAAATTTATTAAAAAATTGGCCATGAAAAATCATGAACGGTGCATTATTATTATTATTATTTTGTTTTATGTAAAGCACTTTGAATTACCAGTGTGTATTAAATGTACAACACAAATACGCTTGCCTATCACAGTTACTGTTATTTCGGTCCCATATTTAAGGCCTCTTAAAATGATAATTAAGATCGTTAAGATCTTAATATAGTTAATTTACCATTATTTAATCATTAAAGAAGCTTTTATTCAAAGCGCTTTACTACTAAAGAGAAAGCAATTAAACAAACAATATGCAATTGATGTGACCATTCCCAGTTAAGTCTAATGCAGTACACATTTTTTATTTAAAAAAAAAATAAATTTATAGAAAAGAAAGGGTTAGTATCTTTAATGCAAATATATAAACATGCATGAGACAATACTAAAATGTACGAAATGAGAAAATACTAAAATGTAGTAAAACATTTTAAAAAAGAGAAAATATTGCTGACTGCTCTACTACAAGTGTTCATGTTTGCGGTTGCCAGATGTCAATATTTTAAACCCCCAAATCAGAACTTTTCTGTTAAAACTAAAGGATCAATTTTCTGTCCATGTGATTTTACTCAAATGCTTTACATATTTACAATACCAATATATTTTCAAAATATCAATGTATTTTGTTATATTGCAATCTGGAAACCATGAGCACACGCTCTCTCTACACTGCAGATGAAGCGCTGATGATCTGAAGACACTGAAACAGGTTTCTGAATTGGCCAATTTGCCATTATATAAATATCATTAATATACCTTTTAAAATATAGGACATTATTAAGTAAATTTTAACTAAACTAAAGGCTTTAAAATAACCATGCCCATACTAATACTGCCGACCCCTGTGTTGTAGATTGATATGATATGACATTGTCCATTTACATTTCGATGGCTTGTATTCGGCGTACGTGTCCGCGTGCCCCAACTCCTCCGTCTCTTCCTCGTCCGCCTCCTCCTCTTCCTCGGGTGGCGGTGGAGGAGCGGGCTGTAGAAATGAACGAGGGAGGCAGAAAACACAGGATGATGAAACGTGATGAAATAGAGAGGATGGGGTATTCGATAAAGCTAAGGAGAGAATCTACCTTAAATCCCGCCACTGACGCGGACAGGATCGCGCTGAAGTCATCAAACCTGCCCGGAAACGCACTCAGGTTCTGCTGAAGAACACGGATACAGAGGAGATGGACTCAGGCTAATGCTATCTGTGCAATTGTTTAACCCTCAGGTGCTCTTCGTTTCGGAGTCACGCTTGTTATCTTCCCGGTTATCAAAGTTATCAAAAGTGACCGGACACCTAAAAATTCAATTTCCTCCATCCCAGTAAAACCAATAGCATTTATTGTTGTTCTATAATATTTATTCTTTGCAATTTAGTATTTTGAGACAATTTGATTGAATTTATTAATATTTATGCAATATTTATGGTCTATTTTTGCCATGGAAAAATATATATATTTTTCTTTATATATATTATTTTTTTCAAAAAATTATTAATGCAGTATTTTTGTTTAATATAGAGTCTAGACCTTCAGAAAAAAATATTTTTTGAAGAAAATTAGCACCATCTGGTTACAGTATAGAGAAAAAGCGTAGATTCATGGTGTAACCACTAGATGGCATGTACAGCTCTCTATGGAGAGGCATGTGAATTCCCCAGATGTTTATGAACACATTATTTATTTATTTTTTTTGGTGGATTTGAATATATAGTTGAAACAATCTCAAAAACTATTTTTTATTTTAAAAAATGTAAAAATAAAAAATAATAACAAATAAAAAATTGTGAATTTTTATGTTTTTGTCAATTTCCTATTCATTTCCTATGGGGTCATTTTTGACCAAAGAGCACAAGTGTGACTATTTTTTTAAGACCACTTAGCATGCTCAGATCATGACCTCAATTTTTTTGTGTGTTCACATACATAATGCTATAAAAGTCACCAAGTTTCGTAACATTGCGATGAAGCTGTGATTTTTAAAAACTCAAAACATACTTTTTGTAATCAAAATGTATTGGTGTGTATGTGTATAAAAGTGTGTTTGTATGTGTGTGCGTGTTGGTGGGTGTGTCTGTTTTGTACTCTAGATGTTGTAGAGTGTCACCCCTTTCCTGCGGTGTACTTTTTTTTAGAATTGTGGCTGATTTGCAGATTGCACGTACAAAAATTCAGAGAATTTTTTTTTTTTGTCAATTTCCCATTCATTTCCTATGGGTCGGTCATTTTTGACCGAAGACCACAAGTGTGACTATTTTTTCAAGACCACTTAGCATGCTCAGATCATGACCTCAATTTTTTTTTTGTATTCACATACATAATGCCATAAAAGTCACCAAGTTTCATAACATTCCGATGAAGCTGTGATTTTTAAAATTTCAAATCCGTTTAAGAACATGCATGCAAGCGTGCGGATAGTTATTGAGTTCTGTGGCAGGACCAGTGAAAATGGCTGAAAAATGTATATCTGAGAGAAAACCAGTGTATAAATACCTGTCTCTGACTGTGTCCAGGTGTATCCCAGCACATCTGTGCCACGGTGCCCTCAGCGGGTAACTGTGCCAGGCTTTCAGTGCCAAATCCTGAAGGGTCTGGATACTCCAACAGAGATTCAGATGGCGAGGAGAACAGCGATGTGTTGGACAGCTCCTCTATGCATGGCAAATCCTAAAAACAACAACCATAAAAAGTTGACACTTCAGTCACTTACATCATTTTACTGGAAAACACACAGCAGCTTTTCATTCTAGATATTCTGTTATCTAGCCTAAAGGCCTTTGCACACCCAGTCCGAAATTTTCGTATTGTATTTGTGATTCAGTGGCTCTGAATTGTCAAAACACCATTCAAACAGCTCGCTACGGATGCGAAAAACGAAGAAAATCAAACCCAATTCAATTTTTTTATGACGGGCGAAAGTGTCGGAGGCAGTGTGTAAGCGTGATTGACATAGCGTGAGGTCGTATTTATTTTTTAACCTACGAAAATTTCGGATTTAATGCCCAAGGCCCTTAAGTGTGTGTGTCAATGTGCATGACCTTCTTTGTTCAGTCTTTTCCATGCGATTACAATAAACAGGGACTTCAGTTTTCACACAAAAGCACCATAAGTCAAGCCCCGCCCCCCTAAAATGCTGACGAAATCGTGTCATAAAAAAGGATTTTACTGTATAACGCGGAATTTCACATAATTTGTCAATTTTTCGAGGAATAAATAGAAAGCAGTTCAGTGCACTTGAAATCAAATCACGTTGTAGACTAGTGTGTGAATATTAAACCATAAAGACTATTTAAGTACAAATCCTGCTTGCCTTGTTCCGCGTGAATGAATGGTGCAGCCGGCGCGCAGTTTCATTTACCACACACACACACACACACACACTGAAGCACATGTGATGCTTGCGCTGTTTTTTTTGCCAATATGAAGACACAAATGCATGAACTTCCTCTCCAGGCTCTAGATCCACTCTGAAAGTCACTTTGTGATCATTTAACCACTTCATTTGAGAAACTATCATCATGACAAACACACAGAAACTCAAAAGGGCTTCACGGCAACCCGTCAAAATAAAAGTTCGGTTTAACGTGACAGAAATATATCACTGTTGTACAGTAGAAATAGGAAATGTCCAGATGTAATAGTACACTAACACTAATACGAATAAATTATGCATTTTTGAAACAAAACTGAATTTAAGGAATAATCCATGTTTTAACAGTAAAGCTCATTGTGCAGCACATTATTTGACAAAAAGTTTATGATAAAATTAGTGTTTTATGGCTTAATTTTATTACCAGCAAAAACTATCTCTATATATACACTCACCGGCCACTTTATTAGGTACACCTGTCCAACTGCTCGTTATCACTTAAATTCTAAGCAGCCAATCACATGGCGGCAACTCAGTGCATTTAGGCATGTAGACATGGTCAAGACAATCTCCTGCAGTTCAAACCGAGCATCAGTATGGGGAAGAAAGGTGATTTGAGTGACTTTGAACGTGGCATGATTGTTGGTGCCAGAAGGGCTGGTCTGAGTATTTCAGAAACTGCTAATCTACTGGGATTTTCACGCACAACCATCTCTAGGGTTTACAGAGAATGGTCCGAAAAAGAAAAAACATCCAGTGAGCGGCAGTTCTGTGGACGGAAATGCCTTGTTGATGCCAGAGGTCAGAGGAGAATGGCCAGACTGGTTCGAGCTGATAGAAGGGCAACAGTGACTCAAATAACCACCCGTTACAACCAAGGTGGGCAGAAGAGCATCTCTGAACGCACAGTACGTCGAACTTTGAGGCAGATGGGCTACAGCAGCAGAAGACCACACCGGGTGCCACTCCTTTCAGCTAAGAACAGGAAACTGAGGCTACAATTTGCACAAGCTCATCGAAATTGGACAATAGAAGATTGGAAAAACGTTGCCTGGTCTGATGAGTCTCGATTTCTGCTGCGACATTCGGATGGTAGGGTCAGAATTTGGCGTCTACAACATGAAAGCATGGATCCATCCTGCCTTGTATCAACGGTTCAGGCTGGTGGTGGTGGTGTCATGGTGTGGGGAATATTTTTTTGGCACTCTTTGGGCCCCTTGGTACCAATTGAGCATTGTTGCAACGCCACAGCCTACCTGAGTATTGTTGCTGACCATGTCCATCCCTTTATGACCACAATGTACCCAACTTCTGATGGCTACTTTCAGCAGGATAATGCACCATGTCATAAAGCTGGAATCATCTCAGACTGGTTTCTTGAACATGACAATGAGTTCGCTGTACTCAAATGGCCTCCACAGTCACCAGATCTCAATCCAATAGAGCATCTTTGGGATGTGGTGGAACGGGAGATTCGCATCATGGATGTGCAGCCGACAAATCTGCGGCAACTGTGTGATGCCATCATGTCAATATGGACCAAACTCCCTGAGGAATGCTTCCAGCACCTTGTTGAATCTATGCCACGAAAAATTGAGGCAGTTCTGAAGGCAAAAGGGGGTCCAACCCGTTAATAGCATGGGGTACCTAATAAAGTGGTCGGTGAGTGTATATGTATATATATATATATATATATATATAAAATAAAAAAATAATAATAATACATTATTAGAATTATTATACATTCTTTTAGATGTCTAATAATAAAAAATATGACATGCCCGCTACGCTACAGTAGCAGGTAGTGTAGTGTACTTTTACGTAATAAAAGAAGTAAACGCGCAGCAATAGGTGGATCAAATGACCTGTATCTACACTGAAACCTTTTAAAATCAAAGTCACAACACATTTCTAAAAAAAAAAGTCCCAACCATCGAAAAAACAACAATATCTTAACGCATCGAGCAGCCTAACATGAAAACTCCTGTAAAATAAGACGTATTTAGCCAAACCTAAGCTGTACCTTTAGCACGGGTCCTGAGCGCTGAGCTCGAAACTGCAGCATAGACGTCTGACTGAGTGCCAAGACCAAAACACTAGCTTGAACTGATAGCAGAAGTTCACTTACACGCAAAACCTGTGACAGATACACTGACACACAGGTCACATTCACTCGAATACAATCATGCCAGTGTTTGCTCTGGGGTGTGGTGGTCTTCTTTCAGGAAACAAGGCTTTTGTGTCCAAGCCCAATTTCCCGTAATGTGCTTTCAGGGGTGTGTGGCTCTTTAATAGTATGCAAATGTGCCTGAAGAGCCATGTATAAACAGCGTATGATTGATTGCAGGCAGCGATAGTGATGTGGATAAGATCTGAACAATCTATCCTTACTAGTTTACATGTTCTTATGCAAACACAGAGAACGTTTTCCTCCATATTATGCGTCACACAGAGATGGTCTAGTACATACTGTAACGCCTACTATTTATAATAAGATTGTGAAATGGTCACAGTATGCAACACTAAACATTTTAAAGCTGTTCGTTAGTTAAACTAACCAAAAAATGTTTTGATTAAAGAAAGATCTTCATTTCACTTTCAGTTCATTCCTCACACAAAAGCCATTGTCGCTGTGCTAAACTGATTAAAGGAGTAGTTCCCTTTTAAAAAAACTTTTGCTGATAATTTCCTCACCCCCATGTCATACAAGATGTCCATGTCTTTCTTTCTTCAGTCGAAAAGAAATTAAAAAAAATAAATTTTTGATGAAAACATTCCAGGATTTTCTCCATATATTGGACTTCAATGGGGACCAAACGGTTCAAGGTCCAAATGAGAGTTTCAGTGCAGCTTTAAAGGGCTTTAAACGATTTCAGACGACGAATAAGGGTCTTATCTAGCGAAACAAGCGCTCATTTCAAAAATAAATAAAGTTGAAGTTTTATAAGCACAAAAGCTCGCCTTGCTCTGTTCTGTGATGCCCATGAACGAATGAACGAATCTTTTTTCGAGTCATTTGGTTGATTCAACGAAATGAACGAAATGGCCGATCGTTTGGCTAGAAAAAGACCCTTATTTATCGTCTGGTGTCGTTTAAAGCTGCACTGAAACTGTCTTTTGGACCTTGAACTGTTTGGACCCCATTGAAGTCCATTATATGGAGAAAATCCAGGAATGTTTTCATCAAAAACCTTAATTTCTTTTCGACTGAAGAAAGAAAGACATGGACATCTTGGATGACATGGGGGTGAGTAAATTATCAAGTTTTTTTTTTAAGTGAACTACTCCTTTAAAATGGCACAGCTTCATAATGATTGTGCGATTCAAACCTGCCCTTTTATCCTGAATGTAAGAAACTTTTGTGCTAATCACACCTACATGTTCAACAGCACAGCTTTGTTCAGCTGTAGGTTTGAGATTAATCCATTCTCCTGCAGGCTAAGCTATTCATTAAAAATAATAATGGTCAAAGCACGTCAGTCGTGAGATGCAGGTTCAGGTCAGGCCTACAGCGTTATCTGCATTTACACATCGTCCCACTTTCCTATCCATTCACAGCTACAGAAAGTCCATAAAGTACAAGATGGACAGGCAGATACATAGATCATCATTGATTTCAGAGCAAAGTCAGTATCAAGAGAGGAAAAATAATAGACTATTGCTTGTTTCTGAAGCAAGAAAAGACGTGATCTGCTCGTACCTGGGAGAAGTCTCCGTTCCGCACAAGGTCATGAAAGTCTATGTCCGAGAGGTCCAGATTCACAGAGGACGGGTTCGGCTGGAGCTGCCTGATAAATCAGTGGAGAAAGGTCAATTTGTCTTCAAAATACACCTAAACACTGCTAGAAATACAGATAAATTCAGAGTACTTCATATCAGATTTCTGATATATGAACAGCACCACCAGGTTTACATCTATAAATAGACATTGGATTGGTATCATCAACTAACTCACGATAAAGTACATGTGTCACATGTTCAATATATCAGAATGCACCACAATATTATAACTGGAAACTGCACCAAACTTATGAGAGACAGTTAAAGGTCATCTGAGTTGATTCAGTGAGTCATTTAACTGATTCAGTCAATGATCTTCACTGCACTAATTAATTCATAAATTAAACGACAGATTTATTTATCAATATATTATTACTAATATATAATGAACCATTCGCAAACCTGTTAAAAATGAGGGCTGTCGGTAGAGATAATTTAGGTAAGAGAGTATTCGGGTGATTATCTTTGACGATTAATCGGATTATTTGAGGTAATAAAAATAGACATAAGTGAACAATTACCATTAAAAGGACTTAAAATACATGGGTATAATAACAATAAGGCAATAATAATTGGCTCAAATAAATTATCAAAATGGTTTGTTAAAACATACAATACTGTTAAAATACATAACGGAATATCCATAATATAAAAACAATCAATTTATGTACATTATGTATTATAACAAATCCCTGGTGATTGTTGTTGTTACACTTTACAGCAGGTCAAATCCGAGTTTAATTTTGCCCAAATTAGGGATGGGCAACGATTAATCGCGATTAATCGCATCCAAAATAAAAGTTTGTGTTTACATAATATATGTGTGTGTGGTGTGTATAATTAATTTGTATATATACATACCCACACTTGCATGTATATATTTAAGAAAAACGTGCATGTATATATTTTATATATATTTATTCACAATTAATATTTTATATGAATATAAATATTTGATATATTAACACATATTTCTTAAATATATACAAGCATGTGTGGGTATTTATATACACAAATTAATTATACACACCACACACACATATATTATGTAAACACAAACTTTTATTTTGGATGCGATTAATCGCGATTAACCTAATTAAAATGTCCACTTTATCTTTAATACATTTACCATTTACACTTACATTTTGAAATCTCGATGAACAGTTTGCATATTTAGAAAAATATTGATGTATTCTCCTGCGTCGATTTAGGTTTATAAATGATTAACGTTATAAGGCACATTATAAGAATTAACATTATAATGAACGGCTCAGAATGCATAATTTTCGGAAGCACTTGATCCATTAATTCTAGCACTTTCTCTTCTATTCTACTTTAAAAAATAATAATTAAAACAAATGACATGTACTGCGTTAGATTAAACTGAGAAGGGTCATAGCATGTTGTTGTCCTACTGTTAGTTTAATTGTTTTACACACATGCAAATAATTAAGAACCATTAAGCCATATTATATTTTTAAAATGGTTTTATTATATCATGCAAACTTTGAAAGTGGTCTAATAATGGGGTTCAAGGATTCTCATCCATTGAATGTGCAACTTGCGTTATTTTGCCGGTTAATCGACAGGTAAATTACAATCGAGGATTATTCGAACTTAATCAAGGAATCATGACAGCCCTTGTTTTATATATATATATATATATTTTTTTTTTTGCTTGTTGAAGTACAGTGTGCATAACTCACCTCCCAGATTGCATAGGATAGTGCTGGTTGTATTGAGTTTGCTGTGAATACGCCCATGAGTTAGACGGATACAGCTGATTCTAGGGAAACAGGAAACAAACAGCAGATTTGACACAGGAAGTGGCCATTTGGAAACACTGTTCAGCAGAGATACTACCCATTAACCCAAATATTTATAAAAATGAACTAGTGACTCATATGGACATGGTGAGACCCGACACAAATCATGCACATACATGGTGAAGACTAACAGTTCACCAAATAAACAACCATAAACCAAGTGATGTGAAGCAACTGTTTCTGGAAGGATGATTACCATTGACGCACTCCATATCCGTCCCATATTAGACAAGGTTCGAGACCAACTAGAGTAATAGTTATGAAGAAGACAGTTTAAAACTGGAAAAATGCCATGCTGTGACATTAAAAAGTGCAGCAAGTAGACTCCGAACAGGCTAGTATAATGAGTTCAATATATGTTACCAAACCCGAGCCTGATAGGATCAGGAGAATTGTTCATATGTAACTTCAAGTTCAATTTGCTCTGGGCTTAGGTTTTTGTAATTAATGGGGAATATTAGAGATGCATAGATACCACATTTCTCTGCCAATAGCAATTATTCAGATACCGATAGGAAAAAAAATCTCTCATAACTAATGCAGTAAACTATAGGGATCCCAACAAAGCCCAAACTATTATATTCAACTGCTATTTATTTTCAGATATACTAATTACATTTAAAATAAAAACTGAAATGTTTGTATACAGCTCATAAGGTAATTTTCCCTTTACAAATTCATTCAAAAATACATGCATGAGCTCCTCTCTAGTGTTTTTACAGCTAACTAATTAGCCGTGAACATTGGTTAACTTTCCTACGGTAAATGCAACATTAAGTGGTTTTATTGACGTCTTTCCGCGATTGAAACACTGATTTAGAGATTACATGAGACATGCACTGTCTTTTTCAAAATTCAATTTAAAAAAAATGTATGTTTTTCATGCAATAACTTGTAGTAAAGTGGAAGACAAGAGGCATTACAGCGATTCGTCACTTCACATTTAAGAGTGTCAAAATGCGATTTATTGATTAAATTTTGTGATATGGACAGAATGTGAAAGCTGAGGCTTTGTTTCTTATCACAACAGCACCAAAGCAAAGCTCTTTGCGATTATTGTTGATTATGGAAATAAACATAAATGAACATCAGAAGGTCAACGTCAACCGCGGAAAGACGCCAATATACGCCATTTCCACTGACTTTAATCTACTACCTCTCCTATCTGATTTGTTTGTCTGAAAAAATGGTGGATTTGGCATTATGATTAGTCAAATCACCTGTCAATCAAACTCTTAGCAAATGGTAAATTGGACCTGATCATCGGCTGCTTTTAGTAACAATAGGGCGACAGGGACATACCGATTATTGGCCGATACATGGGTGCATCCCTAATTTACATATATATGAAGAGTTCAGATGCAAAAGCCTCTAAATGCCATTTGAAATTTTCTTCTTTAATGATGATTTTTATCAAACTTGTATATTTAAGTTCAGTAATTTCACTTAAATAACAATTAAAAGGTAATTATCATTGCCATTTACGTGAAATTACTGAACTTAAATATACAAGCTTGATAAAAATGATCATTCTAGAAGAAAATTTCAAATGGCACTTAGAGACTTTTGCATCTGAACTCTTCATATATACATTATAGATAGATAAATAGATATTATTCTATTTATTATATTTACTTTATTATAATTCTTTTTATTAGATATTCATATTATTCTTTACGTCTTTATTATTTTATACTATGTGTTACAAGCTTGCATTGTAATGAGATGGGGGGTGGGGGGGGTCAAGGTCAAACATGTGCAGACCTTTAGTCCGAGACTCTTTGTATAGAGGTAAAAAATAACATTTACAATAAAGTGTGTCTTAATGTAAAATTTTCGTGGTATTTTAGACATTTACAGGTCCAGTGTTTACCTCCATGGAACTTGGGAGAGGAGGACTGGGAGCGCTGAACTTCGGGCTCCCCAACTGAGGGTCCTCAGGGTGCAGATAGTCCTCCGTGTCCATGACAACAGACGTGGCAAGAATGGGCATCAGGCTCCGAGAAGAAACATGATTACGAGTCGAACCCCCGTCGTTCTTCAGCCATCTCTGAGAGAGAGAGAGATCAGTCAGTGTAATAATCATCACTAATAATCTCTGCATCCAATGCTTATTACCAACCTTCCGATTTATTAGACCAGCTATTGATTTGTCGGTGATTACTAACAAGATCAAAATTACGAGCTACAGATTAACACACGCATACAGACCACTAGTGAAACACATTTCTATTTAGCATTTTTCTCATTAAATGCAAGCGTTTCCATTAAGAAATTATGTTATTATCATAACAACCAGATATATTTTAATTGAAAAATGTACATTAGCCAGATGAAAATAGATAAACGATAACATATAGATAGATGATTATGAATCAATACAAGGCAGATATGTTAATGTGTTTATATATTCAATATGTGATAGAGGCCTCGTCTATGTGACAGTTTGAGGGGAATTATATTGTAAGCACGCTTTATTTTAACCTCTTTAAAACAGACTGCCACACATCCACCCTTAATAAAACAGACGATATCAAAATAGAAACATTTAAACATATATGGGATAATCTAAAAATAATCTGTCTGAGCGTATGTCAAACTGAAAAGCATCAACCAAACAGCACTGGCCTCTCAAACACGCCACTTTAATAGGATTCCCAGCTCGTATTGATTATTGTAGACTAACTTAATTGATTTATACTCGAATTTATCAGCTGTCTGTGTGTTTTTTCTGATTGACTCAATGGAGCGCTATTGTTTGATTCGTGCTAACATGCTAACCTGAGAGAAAACTCACTCACCGAGCGTTAAAAAACCCCCCCTTTTCGCGAAACCCCTCAACGAGCACTAACGACCACTCAATCTGGGTTTTTCTCGATCGGTAAAGGTGTATTGGAGGGGTTAATCCATATTTTTCTACCCCTGTACGGTTGTTTACCTACTTCCTGGTCGACGTCGCCATCTTGTTCTAAAAGAAGGACGACTCTTCCGCTGACGTCATCGCCGATCCACAACGCACTCGCGACGCTAGGTAAATTTATCGAGGAAAGAATACTATATTATACATTTTATTTTATTTTATGCTAAATTCCATATACATAAATGTAAGTACAATAAAACCAAACCTTTGTTTTTGGTTCTTGAAAAAGAAATGCAATTATATATCAAAACTATCTTTCATTCCCACAATAAGAAAGTAATTAAAACTATTTCGATTTGTGAATCCTTTGATATTTTTATGTTTAGCCTCCCCCTGGCTGTCTGATTTTTGTTTTTGTTTTTTGTTTTTTTGTTTGTTTTTGTTTTCTCCATTTTGTATATATTGCAATTCTGACTGTATTAAGTTTGTTAGTTGGAATAAAAATAAATAAACAACTATCGATTTAAGGAAATAACTCATTTGGTTTACTAGTTCCCTTGTTTATAAATTGTATTTTAAAATATACCACAGAGGCTCTAAACCTAGCCATCTAAATACGAATAAAAACATAATGTATTAGTAATAGGCTAAATGTGGGTATATACTGAAATCATGATTAATAGGCTTTTTTTTAAGTAGCTGCCTTAGTAGCTGTTCAATACACATTTCAATTTGAATTACATTAAACTGAGTTTAAAAATGAGTTGAATCTTGCATAAATTATTTTTTAAAAAAGTTGAAAATTGCTTAACTTATTTTGGTGAAGTTAAAGCAATGTAAACATGTCATTAATCACAATTCTTTACAGTGTAAACTGCTTTCTGTGCCTTATTTGTTGTTTGTTTTCTTTTTTAACACAATAGAGACTAATACCAATTCATCATATTTTTTTACTGTTGCCTAGTAACTGTAGTCTAGTATTTTGTAAGCTTATATAATGTTTCATATGTTTGCACAAAAATAGTTAATGGAATTCTGAATCGTGAGTCTTCTTTTTTAACATTTTTTTAAAAATGTTAATAATTGTTTTAGAACGTTCAGAGAACATTCAAAATGAACGTTCCAAAAAATGTAAACATGTTTCGTAAAAAGTTCTTAGAACACTATCACTTTATTTTAAAGGGACGTGTTACACGTTATGTACGTATAGGCCTAGTAAAACAGTAAATTATGCATATAGCCTAAGTAATTAAACGAAACCCTAACCGTAACTCTTTAAGTACATTTCGTTCATATTATTTAGGCTACTCGGTATTTGAAGTACAATGTAGCCTAATCATGTCACCTTCAAATAGCTGTCTGGTTGCGCCTCTTTATCGACGGGACTCTTACTTTCAGATATGGGCGGTTATAGTTCATAGTCCGCGGACTTTGGAAGGTTTGACCTGATTTCATGTTGATTCCATCATCATCATCATCATCAGTGCTGAGTAAACGACAGGACACACACTGCCACAGAGACGAAACCTCAGCGAAATCAAGACAGAAGATGTTTTTTTCACTTCCTAGATATTTATTTTAATCGCTATTTATAGATTGCCTGTATATTTTTTGCTCAAGGATATATTTTTGTGGATTCCTGATTTCTCCAATGGATTTTCCTCCCGAGATCAGTGTTTTTCTTCTGTCTCTGACGGCACCTTTAATTCTCTACACAATCAACCATGTGTCCTTCTTACAAGAGTAAGTTTGCGTCATTACTTGACATTGCATTGACATTAAGCAATGCAAACTTGTAGAAGTGCGACTTGTTTTATGAGGTTTTATCTACTTCATTTTGCCAAAAGAGGGCAACCAACCTCTGTTTCAAACTCAAGAGCTGATCTGATCATTGAGCTCACAGTGCACTGAAGCTCCCAAGAATATATCTTTATGATATGATTTCATGACAGTTTCACCCTCAAAAATCTCTCAATGCAGAAAAAGATTAATTTTATAGCCTGCATCATGTGAATATTTCACATTTAAAAATTAAATGTAATTTATACACACTGTAAAAAAATATTTTCAAGATTTGTTATTACAACATTTTTTCTTTTGTCAAATCAACTTTATAATAATTTATTTAGTTGAGATAACTTATTATTTTGAGTTTATGATGATTAAATTAATCTCCTTCATTGTATTAACTCACTTTTTCCAGTTCAATCAACTTCAAATTTTAAGGCAACCCATGTTACTTACTTTTTTAAGTTAAACCAACAATATTTTTTTACAGTGTAGTAATCACAACATTTTCTTTTGTCAAATCAACTTAAATAATTTATTTAGTTCAGATAACATATATTTTTGAGTTTCTGATGATGAAATCATTCTATTTCATTGTATTAACTCACTTTTTACAGTTCAATGAACTTAAAATTTTAAGGCAACCATGTTACTTACTTTTTTAAGTTAAACCAACAATATTTTTTTACAGTGTATTGCAGCATTTTAAGTCTAATACAATAAAATTGTCTGTATATAGCCCCTAACAGTCATAAGAATTGAATGGAAATCAGCTTTGACAATAATGAGAGTTACATGTCGTCCTAAAGTAGGCATTATTTGTTTACATTATTTAAAATGATACATTTTGAATCTGTTTGGCGGGGAGAAATATGACCTCATTGATAATCGTTTATAATGCTTCAAACGACATGTTTTCTCGCTCAGTCCACAGGTTATACTGGCTATAGGCATCGCGGTTCTTACAACTATATTCCTCCTGGCA